GAGAGAGAGAGAGAGAGAGAGAGAGAGAGAGAGAGAGAGAGAGAGTGAGAGAGAGAGAGACAGAGAGAGAGAGAGAATAAATGGGTCTAGTCAAAGCTAGATTGTCAAGATGACTGGGCTTTTAGCGTCTTTTAAATGACTGGCTAGGTCACAAGTAAAGCAGAAATGAGGGGGCCAGTGAGATAATCCAACTCAATAGCCAAACCATTACAACCTCAGCAGCAGCAGGAATATGACAACTGTCATGTTACATGTAAGTATGGTCTTGCTGATATGACGGACATTTACAAGTTAGGAATACGGGTGAAACTATCTAAAAATCAACAGTCGCAAATGCTTACAGACCAAAAGCCTGGCAAGTATTAGAGATGGAGGAAGAGAAGGCCGCTGCCTAGCCAGGTCTCCTGAGACCTGCTGTGGGCTGACCCCGGAAGGACTGGACCCCCCCCATGGCAGATGTGTGGGACCCCAGTGCCAGCCTGCCGTCTCTACTGGACATTGACAGGAGGCAAACAAGAGGCCTCCTCCGACCTGCATCTCAGCTCAGAGCCCCCAGAGGCCCGCAGGCCTGGTCACAGGCCACATCAGCGAGGAAGGCAACATTTCCTTCCGACACGGCAGACAGCATCTGTGCAGAGAGCATGCGTGAACGCATCTGGGATGAATAGGCCTTTTCACCGCCGCCTCCTCTCAGCCGCTTTTGTTGTGATACAGGTGACAACAAAGACATTTATCATCAGGAGCCCGCTCAGCAGCTGTTTCGCACTGTTCCTTGTTTAACTTCTCTCAAGAGCTGAGTTATCTGCCCCGCAAAGCAGGTGTTTAAGGCAGGTGATTCTGTTTCCATTGGTTTTCTTAAGTAATAACAGGCCAGACTAGGAGGTTATCTCCTGCACTCCTGGGAACCCTCCCCCTGTGCCTGCGAAATCACAGGCCATGTGCTTGACAGGAACGTTCACCTCTGCCCTGCTGGTTCTAGCACCTTTGAACCTCTACTTCCAGCAGTAAGCAGAACCTAGGCGGCACAGCCCCACCCTTCTCCCTGATGCCTGGACTGTGTCTCCTTTGGTAATGGGTTAGAGGGGAAACGAGGTCGCAGGTTTTTAAGTTCTTAGGAAAAAGCAGGATAAGAAAAGCCTGACTCCTTCAAAGCCCAGCTAGATGTCTGTATTAATGACAACATTCACTGTCCCGTGCTCCAAGCTGCCACGAGGAGAGTTTAATATAAAACATGAAAAAATGTTTTTAAAGATGTTAAAGCTGTAGGTCTCCCCTCCTGCCAGCTGTGGACAGCCACTGTGCTCTGCGCGTGAGAGTGGCACACTTCTCTACCCGGCCGAACCCCAAGGCCCTTCCGTTACCGTCAGTGCTCCCCCACTGTGGAGCCATTTTCACGAGAAGCAAACATCCGGTGACACATCTCTTTCTCTCTGTCCATGTAGTCCCTGTAGTAGCTGCAGAGAGAAACACACGGCGTCTGTTTGTAAGAGGTGACATCTGGTGGTTGGAATCCTCTGCTCAGGTACACGTACATTCTGCAGGCCTTCCACCGAAGCAGGAGGGGCGGAAGCCAGCCACAGGGGCAAGGACACAGGCCAGGCTCCTAAGCCTGTGGGAGAACCCCAGGCACACGCAGCCATGTCTTTGAAGAGACACGGACATGAGCAGCCATGAAGGAGGAGCCTCCGTCCCTGGGTCTCAAGGCCAACTCCTTCCAAACGAGCCTTCACATTCAGTGGCCTCTGTTTATCTGGACATTTTCTTGCTAGGTCATGGTCAGACCCCCAAATTCCACCATTGACCTGAAAGAATATTTTTATATTCCAGAACGGGAATTCCCGGAAAAGGCTAAAGGCCTGAAATACAACTGGATCCAAATATAAGATGCGCACAACTCAGACTTGCAATGCCAAGAAAGCTGCGGCCAGCAGCCTGGACCGACAGCTCCATGTTGAGAGGAGTAGAGAATCTCACCAAAGCAGAACAAAACTATGCCTTCAAAACCAGGGGATAGCTTGCTAGGCAACTCCTGTTTATAGGAAAATATTTTTAAAGTTTTCTACAATAAACCTGTAATTTCTATAATGAGAAAAATGGCATTTCTAGAAGAGCGGTGTCTCTAACCCTTGGGTAAGAATAGCCCTGGCCAGCCCATTTTGGACTGCAGCGGGACCCCTGGGGCAGCCCCATGTTGGGAAGCACAGGTGGGTCTCCCACAGCAATGGGGCCAAGTCTCAAATGCAGGACCCTTCAAGGCCACCTCTCTAGGGCCGCTTGTCTGTGGGAGGTGGGAAATGGCTGGGCATCGAGGTTGGGAATTTGTCCCCTTCTCCACCAGGAACTGCTGGTCAGGGCACTGAGCACTTGTGCAAACCAGCTTGGGGGCCACCGCCCAGCAGAGTCTGCGCAACATTCCCCGTCTGTCCTCCACCCAGGGCGATGGCCCGGAATGGCTCACATCACATGTGCCCCTGGCCACACACCTGCCAACAGAGGTCTCACCTGGCCAGTTTCTTCAGCTCGTTATTGATGTCATGATTGAAGGGCTGCTCCTTCTGGGCGCGAACTAGGAAGTCCCGGGCCTGCTCATAGTCGGTCAGGAGGACACAAGCCTGTCACGAAGGGGTGAACTTTAAAAGTAGACAGGCCCTACACCTTGTTGTGCCGGAGCTGAGCACTGCGGCTTCCTTTCTGGGGTGCTTGTTCTCAAGCCCCTCCCCCAGCTCACCTGTCCACACCTGAAGAGGGCCTTGGCGTTCTTTTGGTCAATGACTAGAGCCTGCTCTCCGTAGCGCAGGGCCGTGGAGGGTCGGTGCAGCTTTAGGTACACCAAGGACAGGTTCAGGAGAATGAGGAGCTTGGTGGCCTCCACCAGGTGCTGCTCCTCAGCGGGCACCAATCGGCGGTGCAGCAGCAGCAAGGCCTGGGGAGAGAGCAGGAAGATGGACGGGGGGAAAAGCACACAGGTAGAAAGCCCTGAACCATTCAGAGCTAACACCCAAGTTGGCAAGGTGGTAGGACACAAGATCAATATATAAAAGTCCTGGGATTTCTGACGGAAATCCACACAGAGCCTGAGGCTGAGTGAGGCAGAAGACGCACGTCCTTGCTCTCTCCTGCCCTATAGGAATCAGAAGGCACACGACAATAGGAGTAGGCCGCGGATGCAGCTCAGGGGCACAGTGCTTGCCAGGCAAGTGCAAGGTCCTGAGTTTGATCCGGGTACAAAAACAAAACAAAACAAAATCAAAAAAGAGTAACAGCAAGGACAGGAAGAGCGCACACAGCCCAGCGTGTAGGTGAGGACCGCAGTGGGGTGACGAGGCTAGCGGGGACGGGCAGTGAAGGAACAGAAGTGGTGCTGTTGGAGGGAACAGGCCCTATGTTCCCCTCTGTCTCACTGTGCCCGCACGCCTGCCCCTCAGGAGTTAGGGGGCTATTTCCAGAGAAATGGAAGCAAAGGGGCTCTTGATTCAGGGACAGAATGGCGCAGCCTCTCTCCTGCTGTCCTGCTCACCCCAGAGCGGTGCAGGCAGGAACCGAGGACACCGATGCACTGCTCTGTGTGGCCACCAGCGGGCCACGCTGCAACCTGCCAGGCCCTTGCAGCTCCCAAGCAGCTTTCTGATGCCCCTTCCAAATTTCAGCAGTCGGCCAAAGATCACCAACCTCTGTGGACAAGGGCTCCTGTCTCCCAGTGCAGCTCCTCCCTCCCTTCGTTCACAGTAGCCAGATCTCCTTGCCAGAAACGCGTCCATCCAGGACATGGGTGTTTGCGAGTCTTCCGGCAGCTGGGGACGGCCAGAACAGGTTCTAGAGAACACGGCTCAGTATTCGCACGGTCCATGGCAAGACCCTTCGTCCAGGGTGAGCTGCATCCTCAGCCCCTTTCTCCTTCTGCGGCCCAGAACTCAGGGACCACAGCCCGACTACTGGCTCCACCGTGGAAACGAGAAGTCTGGGGACCGGAACACTGTGGAGCCGGGCCATGCCAGCCCCAGTCTGCATCCGTCTAGCCTGTCACCAAGAGAAATCCCGGTCTTTACGTCACTGTAACTCCCAGTCTTTTGGGAGTTGCCATCCAACTATGTAATTCTCCAGTGTACAGAAAACCACACAAAGAGAACCGAGACTCTAACAAACGTGAATGCAAGAATATCTGAAAAAGTAACCAATAGTCTAAAGAGACAATATATGGTATGCATAAGAACAGAAAGCCAAAAAACAGAAATGAAATAGAAAAGAAATTTTAAAAAATTTCTGAAATTTAAAAAAATTTCTGAAATTTAAAAAAATTATCCTTTTCTTTTGAGAGGGGGTCTTGCTGTGCTGCCTTGGCTGGTCTTGAACTTGTGGGCTCAAGCCACCCCCTCACCTCTATTCCTGAGGAGCTGGGACTGTGTGCCAACTTGGGAAAAATGTTTTCAGTGAAAAATTCCTTAGAAGAGATGGCAAAATAAAAGGAAAAGGTCCTAGACAGTATAGACATGGGGAGAAAGATTCTAATGGGGAGGGGGTTAAAAAGAAAGGACAAATCAAGGTGAGGAGCCTGACAATTAATAATTAATAGAAGTTTTATAAGCTGGGTGCAGTGGCACACGCCTGTAAACCCAGCACTCGGGAGTCTGAGGCAGGAGGATCGTTGCAAATTCGAGGCCAGCCTGGGCTACAAAGTGAGCTCAAGGCCGGCCTGAACTGCATAGTGAAACCCTGTCTCAAAAAACCCAAAAAAAACAAAAAAAAAGTTTTTTAAAAAGAGAACAAAGAGAGACTGGGGTAAGTTATCAGAGAAATAATTTAAATTTCTCAGAACTGAGGAAGAATTTCCTGAATAAAAAGATGCACCAAGGCTCAGCACCAAATGGGCATGCACACGTGCACACACACCACTGTAAAATACAACAACTGAGCTACGTTCACGCCGAAGGGGCGGGGGAAGTATCCCAGTCTCTACAGAGAAAAATAAGGCCATATATATAGCAACCTCAATGGTATCAGACGTGTGTGTGTGTGTGTGTGTGTGTGTGTGTGGTGCTGGGGATTGAACCCAGAGGCCGTCTACCACCGAGCTAGACCATCCGCCCTTATGAGGCAGGCTACTGCTAATTTGTCAGGCTGGTCTTGAACTTGTGATAGTCCTGCTTCACCCTCTGAAGTAGCTAAAATTATAGGCATGCACATTGTGTCTAGCAGTATCAGATTTCTTAATAGTAATTCTAGGAGTACGAAAACTAGGAGCCTTTTAGACAATGATATTCTCTATCAAAATAAAGGGATGCATTGAGGAAAAACAGCAGCCAATCCTCACAGGAGAATGAGAGATGCCCCAGGACAAGAGCTGTGCAGCAGGCCCAGAGAGACTCCAGCAGGAGCGGCCCCTGGGGCTCGGGGACGAGAGGCCGGACTTCAAGGAAAAGTGCACTGCAGGGCTTCCCAGCCAGGCATGGCGGCACGCGCCTGTAATCCCAGCACTCTGGGAGTGCTGATGCAGAGGACTGCAAGTTCAAGTCCAGTCTGGAAAATTTAGATTCTGCCTTAAAAAAATAACGGGCACGCAATGTAGCTCAGCGTGAAGGCTCTGGGTTCAGTGTCCAGTAGTGCAGACAGTGTGTGTGTGGGGTTCCCTTCTTATAGGAAAGTTTAGAAAGAAATAGCAAAAGGCAGAGACAACTGAGCAACCAAGAGCTAATTTAAGGGGCAAAAAGGAATGTTGCACAAGAAAAAGGACGAAGTGCAGGGAACTACTTAGCTCAGCAGATGTAATATTTATACAACCTTAATAATGCAAAACTGAGTATCAATTTTTAAAATGATGACACACGGATACTGGGAAAATAGCAGTGAGTGAGAACTAAAGCCTCATCTTCCATAATGAGAAACCAAAACCGTCAAATGAGAGCAAGCCATTTGTCAAGGCTGAGCAGGGAGAGAACGGCACATGCAATTAGAAAGTGACGGCCCAGGGGCGAGACTCAGAAAGGAGGAGGAGCGGCGGAAGGAGTGAGGGGTCTTGGGGTGAGCGAGCGGGCTCTCGGGGAGTCTCACAGCCGACAGGATTCGTGAGTGAACCTCCGCCCTCGCCACACCGGTGGCCTGCGAGTTTGGGATTCTGAATCTGTCTACTCCAAAGGGGTGGCAAACGCACTTGCCCTCCTGTCTCCGTCTGGCGCACGCTGACGTTCGGTCACACGTGGCAGGTGCTGTTAGTCAGGGTCTGTTCTCGCCTTCTGACAATGCCCATTTCATTCCAAACAGCGCCGTACTAACTCAGAAAACTATTTTGTGCTGCGTGTCTAGGCAAAGGGTGGAACACTTGCCTAGCACACACAAGAAGCTGGTACTGCAAAAGCAAAACCAAAGCCTCTCATCTCCCAGCTTCCCATACAGCTAAGGGTGTCTCCAGAACATGGGTCCCGCCAGCGAGGGGTGAAGTCCCGGGGGGAGGGCTTCTGGAAAGCAGTACACACAACACACGTACACATATACACTGCACACACAATACACTCCACTTCCCTCCCTTCTTCCAGCCAGATGACCTTCTTGGGGGAGAAAGACAGCAAGGAACATCTAAGGATGGCTAAGCAAGAGAAAGGAAGTGGGCTCCCCGAGGGCTGTGTGGACCCACTACCCCAGCCCTGCTCAGCCTCCCTTTGGAACTCCTTTCTGTAGAAAAATTACACGTACTGTTTCTCAGGATCCTCTTAGTTTCAGGTGAATGCAAATCCTGAAGAGCTTATGCTCAGTATACAAATAAGACCAAATCAAAATGCCCCTAAATCCTGTCCTGTTCACCTGTGGGAACTGGAGCGCAATGGGGTGCACCGAAAGTGCTCTTGATGTTTGCTGAATGAATTACAAAGGACGAAAAAAAGGGCCGTCAGTGCGATGCACACTGGGAGTGTCACAGAAGCCTGGCAGGCCAGGATCACCCAGAGTGAAACTCATCTCTGCCATCTGAGGCACCTGAAATGCAGAATCGGTGGGATGTGGAATTGGTGGGTGGAGGACCAAATACTGGGAGAATTTTTCTTTTTTTTTTTGAGACAGGGTCTCGCTGTATAGTACAAGATGGCCTCAAACTTGTGCAATCCTCCTTCCTCAACCTCTCAAGTGCTGGGATTAGAGGTTTGCGTCATCATACCTGGCTTGGGAGGATTCTTTTTTAATTAGTTGATGGAGACCACTACGAAGTGGCATTAAGCAGGACTTAAATTAACCAATTGGCTTTTCAGATTATGAGACGGACATGCTACTGGCTGTGCTAAGAGGGCATATACACCAGTTGGCTTTTCATGTTTACCTGTGAATCTCTCCAAGGCCTAGGCTTCTTATCTGGAGATGGGCGGTGGGCTCGTAGTGAGTGAAGCTCTGTGAGTTACTAATCCCTACTAAGGCCTGTAATGTTGGACGAAGCCAGAAAGCCTCAAAGGATAAGACAAGCTCACAGCCAAGGACACCCGGATCCAACCTCAACTAGATACAGACTGTAGCCTCAAGAATCTCACTCCTGGGTGGATTAACTTAATGCCTTACTTGGAGAAGTCCTTGAGTGGTTCCACCCTTCTTGAGTACTCTCTTCTTCTGATAATTAAATAAATATGGACCACCCAGAGAAGGTGTTGGCCTTAGCTCTGACAGAATCTCAGATTCTGTGAGAAGGCTTTGATCTTCCTGGAGCCCTTAAATCATTCCATTCGCCTCTTTTTATTTAGTCTTCACCGTACGCTCATTTGGAAGATTGTGGACCTGGTCAGCCTGCAATAACTAAGGGGTATTATTAATCCAATAATTAGTGAATTTTATTTTTTAGAGCACTGAGATGGAAATTTTTTAAGTGTATATTCATGCAGGTAAGTACAAAATAGGGCACTGCTCAATGAACTTTCACAACCAAAACACACCAGTGTAACTGCAGCCAGAAGAATCTGCTCGATGTCACGTCTCCCCCGAGCCCATGTCCCCTCCCAGTCACTGCCCCTCTGGCATGAGGAGTTTCTTTGGTGGGATTTTTCTTAGTGGTTGCTCACGGAGAGTACAGGGAAGAATCTGTTTTTTGAGCGAGGAAGTTCTCAGGATCTACACTTAACTTTCAATGCACTCTTACCTGTTTATACCTCACTTTGGCATCATAGAAGCGATTCTGACGGAAAAGGTAGTTGCCAAGGTCCTTTTCGGTCGTTGCCACTTTGAGGACTTTCTGAAGGGGAAACTGGTCCTGTTGCTCCTGAGGACCAAAGACAGAAATACTGAGTGAGAAAGCCAAAGCCACAGTGCCACCATGGAAGTGGTAATGTGTATGTGCCAGCTGGGAATCTTCTCCTGTAAACTTCAAACCTGCTCATGGCCCTATGTATACAAAGGATGTCTGAGTGTCATCAAAGGCCATGATGGTCAGTATTGTAGCTGGCCCCCTCTGCCAGATCACGCCAGAAGAAAGCCTGCTGCTTTCTTTAGGCCTCCTGAACTGTCCCTGTGGACTTGGGAAGGGATGGAGCTCAGGCTCACAGCCACCATTTACCAAAACAAACAGGTAGCAAGTGCTGTTTGCTCAGAGGCCTGGGCTTTCTGGCCATGATGCGCTATCCTGGCCCCTTAGCAGAATCACCTCAGGGATCCTTTTGTCCCAGCCCCACCCAGACAGCCTAAATCAGTACCCCCACTGTGGGACCCAGGCATTGGCAGGAACTCCTGCTCTGTGGAAAGACGAAGCCAGGGTGAGACAGCAGTCACGAGGAGTGCTGACAGCTCAGCTGCGGACATGTCTATCACATGGAGATACCACACCCTGGACATCAACAGCCACATGCACCCCCAGTGTGCGACAGATGGCGTGGTAAGTACAGTGCATGTGACTGTGGAGGGGATTAGAAGCCCTGTGCCTCCAGGACCAGTATAAGGGAAACGGTACAAAGAGGAGGGCAGTGATCATACACCCAGCTTTCCTGAGACTGTCCCAGTTCACACCTGATGTCCTGGCTGGGTCATCCAGCTCACAGCTGCTTTCACTCTCAAGGGTCCTGGGCTGACCATCACCTACACACTAGCTCTACTTATCAGCTACCGACGCCTAACTGGCTGGAAACTACACAGTGTGGAAAAGCAAATGTGCACTGTCATGTACGGAAAACAAACCAGAGCCTTAGCAGACAGGCAAGACTGGGAAGGAGACGCAAGGAGGCTTGGGGTAGAACTGGGGCCTAGGAACTTCATGAGGGTAGCCTGCACAGAACCACCAAAAGCACAAACCTATCTGTCTCTGTGAAGTGATGGTGTCTGTGTTCTAGAACTTACAGCCGTGAGGGCACAGAACTTGTCTGACTCGGCAGAGTCCAGGAAGTCAAGCAGCTCAATCTCGAACAGAACGGTGGCGTTTGGAGGGATGAGGGGTGGGCAGCCCAGGGCTCCATAGGCATAGGTTGGCTTGAACAGAAACCTGGCCAGCTCCCCTTTGCGCATGCTCAGCAGGCCCAGCTCCATGCCCCAAAGTGTAATATCTGGAGGAAGAAACCGGGAACGTGGTTGAAGCTTGCCCGGCATCCTGCTTGGTGCTAGCCGTTTCTTTCCCCTCCAAGTACAAACCTCTCCAGGCGATAGCCCAGGTCTTCTGCCCTCCGGTCCCAACTCACTTGGCCTCGCTTCCCACTGCCCCTGCCACTCCCCAACTCCAGCTTCTCCAGGTTCAGCAAGATTCTGGTCTTTGCTTTTGCATCACATGCTTCCTTCTTTCTGGAATGTCTTCCTCCTGACTCCATGTCCAGCTTCCACCCCCACTAACATCTTATACTTCAGGGCTAGTTCCATGGAGTCTTCTGTGATCTCCCAGCTGGAACTACCTGTGCCTTAATTAAGCACCCGGTAACACTGCTCAGCTCTCCCAACCCCTCAGCCAGTTCTACCAGGTTACGGTAGTTGGCTGAATGCAGGTCAATCTCCATGACCGCAGCGAACCCTTAAAGGCAAAGAGGTTCCAATCATCTGAGTCTAATCCCTCTTTTCGTCATGCACAGTGGGAAGCAAGCATTTAATAGCTACTTGATCCACAGACAAATGTGCTCCATGAGCAGGTTAGGGTACAAATTTAACCTTGCCAGGTAACTGCTTCCAAAATCTGGGTGTCAAGGGGAAACGTGAGAGAACATGGCTGATTCACCGAAACCCAGCTTCAGAAAAACCAACTCTGGACACAGTCTGTGCTCTGGACACTTTTCCAACCCAAAAGCATTGTGTCCCCAAGGGGTACCGTCCTTTCCAGCTCCCAGTCTGAATTTACCCTCCCCAAGCTTCATCAGCCGAGGTGTTTTCCGAAAGCAGTTAGAGTCAAAGGGCTTGTCCATGTGCTCCAGGTATCCAGAGTATTTCACTAGAACAGAAGAAAGAGGGTGAAGGAAAAAAACAGACCCAAGCACACCCCCGCGACTATCATACCAAGTCTCGAATTATCAAGGAGGAACAGTGGAATTCATGAGTGTAACCCGGGGCATTCCGAGCCACAGGAAGACTCTTCCCACCTCTGGATCCCTGCCCCGGGGACCTGAGGTTCAAGGGCTCTGCAGCTGTGCCTAGCACTTTGCTCACCACTGTCCAATGCAAAGGAGAGAGGAAATGCCTTGCTTTTCTCTTAAAAACCCCCAAATGAAGCCTTTCTAATCCTGTTCTGTAAACATCTGTCTCTCTGCGTTAGGACCTTCATACTGAGCTACAATCCCAGCTGTTTTTTAAATTTTTAATTTTGAGACAGGGTCTCACCAAATTCCTAAATGGCCCAGGCTGGGCTTGAATTTGCAATCCTTCTGTCTCAGCCTCCCAGCTGTGATACACCTCAATCGGGCCACAATGCTGATTTACAGTGTGCCTTCCCTCTCCCAAAGCAAAGTGCCAAGACACAGCTTCCTGGAGACAAAGGGCAGCCAGGCTGCAGCCAGCCATACCAAGCACAGAGGCATCAGGTGTCACCAGGTCTCCAGCACCTTCTCGGATGACATCCTTCAGCACGCCTCTGTCCCCGGAAATGTCCAGCATCTTCTGGCTTAACCGCTGGAACTGCGACTGGTGGAGATCAAAGGCCAGACCTCAGCGCCCCGTGCCCATCCGAGGGCGGCCACCCAGGTCAACGACTCCAAAGCGGTGTCCCGGGCGCCCTCACCTGGCCCAGTGGGTTGTCCCTGCCCAGGACTCCCGAGTGCCGGGCGCTTGCCCCCCATGTCCACGCTGCCGGGCCTCCCTGCGGCGACAGCTCTCAAGCCACCCTCGGGGCTGCAACTGCAGCAGGTTCCAAGAGCGTGGCCCACCTCCCCCTCTGTACCTGGCAGTCGGCTCCCGCCAGCGGCACTTCATTCTGGGGTCTCGAGGAAGCGCTCATGGCTCCAGTCCAACCGCCGCCAACAGCCCTTGCGCTCAGAGAACCACAGAGTCCTGCGGGCACGCGCTGGGGAAGCGCTGGGCGCGAGAGCGTGACGGGGGCGGGCCCAGTGCGAGCACGTGACCAGGCGCGCAGAGGCTGATGGGTGGCGGGGTGCGCAAAGCATGCTGGGGCACGTGCCAGGGGCTTTTGGGGTATGGAGCACGTGACAGCAGCGTGCCCATCCTGAGCACGTGACTGCGGCGGAGAGGGTTCGGCTCTGCTTTGTTTTCAGGGGTCAGCTTCTCTCAGCGGTGGCCGTTTTATTACCGACTCTTCACCCTGCGGTTCTCTTCATCCGCCTTCAGTACCCCTCCTGCCTGCATCGCGCCACCAAGAAAACACACCTGCTTTTGCGGCCAGAGCCCTCAGGCGTTTGTTTGTCCTCCAGCTACCAGACTCCTGTCAGCAGTTGACAAAGTTGACTTCTCTGACCTTCGAGCACTTTTCCTCTCGGCTTCTGGATTAGCATTCGTGTTTTATCCCTGGAGTAACAAATTACCACAAAGCTAGGGGCTTAAAGCAGCACCTACTTCTTGTCTCACAGCTGAACAGCTTCGAAGTTCAGTACCCTTTCTCGCTGGGCCAAGATCAAAGTGTCAGCAAGGCTGTGTTACTTGCCGCCCTGGGAAGAGTCCAGTTCCAAGTTCATTCACATTGTTGGCGGAATCCAGATCCCTGCTGCTCGAGGTATGACGTCACCGTCTCACAGCTCCAGTGCGCTGGATGCTACTCATGCACGGAATCTTCTTCAGCCACATCTTTTTCTGAGTCCAGCCAAATAAAGTTCTCTGCTGTGAAGGGTTGTGTTGTTTCCTGAAATCTGCAGACCCCTCGACCGCTCAGCCGCTCCATCTGGACATCACAAGCCTCTGACTCTGGATTTTCCATCCACTCTTGTCATCTTGATTTTGTCATTGTCAGTCACTGCCATCAGGGCCACCCACCAGGTGCTCAAGCTACTGTGACCCATTATCTTGGGTAGCAGCAGCAAGAGGGCTCTGTTGAAAATATAAACTGGATGCTGTTTCCTTACTTTAACATTCACCAGTGTTCAATCTCTGGCACAGAAGTGGGGGGCACTTGCGAGTGATTCCGGCCGCCCTTGGAGTGGAAGCCAAACTGCTGCCCTGGCTCACAGGGCCAACCCTTGCCAACCTCTCTGGCCTCATCTCCCGAAGCTCCTGCTTCCTTATTATGCTCCTGCTGTCCAGTTCTCCTCTCTAGTGTACCTTGAAAATCCCAACTTCCTCCCACCCCTTTGTTCTCTGTCTGGGCAGCCTTTCAGATGGCTGGCTTCTTTCTATTCTTCACCTTATTAAGTCAAATTTTGTAGGAGGCCATGAATTTGGGCTGGGCACCTGCTCTAGGCCCAACGGACCATACTAATGTAGAATAGTAACTACGCTTTGGTTGGCTGCGGGAGGTTCTAAGGCCGGTTAACTAATAAAGCTGTAAAAAAAAAAAAAAAAATTCCAGCTAGTTAAGCTGTAACCAGTGGACTAAGCTGGAACCAGTTAAGTCGCTTTCTATGCCTTGCTTCTTGCTGTGGTTTTTCTGTAAATGTTGCCAGGTCACATTGTTGGTTAGCATTCTCAGACCCATCCCTGGTTCTGAAAGCTACTGGATTCATGATTTTTGTTTCGCTTTGTTAAGATAAACTTTACTAAGTTTAACTGGTCTAAGGAGTTTGCTTTGCATTTTTATTTTTATTTTTGTACTGGGAATTGAACTCAGAACCTTGCACTTGCCAGGCAGGCGCTTATGCCACTGAGCTATATCCCCAGCTGCTTTGCATTTTTAAATCAGCACTGTAGGTTGAACCCAGGACCTTCACCCTGAGCTATATCCTGAGCCATATATTCTGAGACAAGTTCTCACTAAGTTGCTAAATTGTCCAGAGTGGGCTCAAACTTGCGATCCTCCTGCCTCAGCCTCCCAGGCTGCTGAGATGACAGGTGTTCTGTCTGGTTGAGCTGTTTTTGTTTTTTAAAAAACTCAACTGTCCCATCCTTAAAGACATCACCCTAACATTTCTCAAATGGTCCCTAGCCGGGCATGGTGGCACATGCCTATAATCCCAGCACTCGGGAGCCTGAGGCAGGAGGATTGCTGCGAGTTTGAGACCAGCCTGGGCTACAAAGTGAGCTCAAGGCCAGCCTGAACTGCATAATGAGACTCTGTCTCAAAAAGACCAAATAAATAAATAAATAAATAAATAAATAAATAAAATGGTCCCTTACACAGCCGGCCACCTATCCCTTTTTTCCCCATGGTTTACTTCCTGCATGGCACTTAACACTAGCATAGTGTGTATTTATGGCAAATAACACCCCCATCTGTATTATAAACTCCAGAAAGGCAGGGACTTTGTCTCTTCTCTACTGTATCCTGAATACCCAGCTCAGTGCTCGACACATTACAGGTGCCCAGTAAGTATTTGAGTTAAGTAAAGTGAGCCTTCTCCCTGCCTATACCAGACCTTGCCTGGCCTGTCATGGGAAGAGACCTCGCCGCCTGGTAGGCCTGCTGCTCAGACCTCTGGGGTCCATGTCTGCTCTTCCTGTCTTTTCTAATTGCTATGTCCTCTCCCCACCCATGTAACACAGATCTGATGACCACAGCATCCACTGACTCCATGATAGAATGTCACGATAGAATCTTGAACGACTGCATGTTTAAAAAGTTCAGGATTTAGTAATACTGAGCAAAAGAAGATGCAAAAGAATACATTCAATATGGCTCAGTTGATACATAGTTCAGAAACAGGTCCCACGAGGATAGAATTCAGAATGGTAGCCACACTTATTAGGGGCTCTGACTGAGAGGAGGCCCCAGGACCCCAGCACAAAGTGCTGGAATGTTCTACAACTTGATCTTGAGAGTGAAGATACATGTTAAAGGTACATCAAACTGGGGAGTTAAGATTTATGAACTTCAGCTGGGAGTGGTGATACATACCTGTAATCCGAGTACCGTGGGAGGCTGAGACAGGAGGATCACAAGTTGGAGCCCAGCCTGGGCAATTTATCAATACCCCATCTGAAAATAAAAAATAAAAAGGGCTGGGAGTTGGGTGTGTTAACATATCCCTGGAATCCCAGCACTTAGGAGGCTGAGGCAGGAGGAACACTAAATCTGAGCCCAACCTGGCCTACATAGTGAGACTCTATCTTCAAAGAAAAACAAAACAAGACAAAACCCTCGGCAATAAAGACAGAAGCTAAAAAGTGGGAGAGTGTTGAGTGGGAAGATCCTGAGTATAACCTCCAGGACTGAAAAAAATGCACTGTATTAAATTATTCTTGAATTTAAAGATCGAGGTTACAATACCTTCTGAGACTGCGTCAGAAAGCAGCGTGCCACACCCAGTGTGTGCGTGCTGTGTTCGGGGTTGGCAGGTGTGCAGGACACACCCCCACCTGGGCAAGGCCACCACCTGAATGTTGAGGTTATCAGTGCGGGCCCGGCAGAGGCTGCCTCCCCAGTCTCGTGATGTGACCCAGTTTCCACCTGATTCTGGGTGACCTTGGGGACAGGGGTGTTGCTGGGAAAGGGGAGGGGAGCAGGGGCGGAGACCAAGCAGCAGCATGGGATCCAACTGCGCCCCCACGTCCCAGGCTGCCTCCACTCCTGCCAAGAACTTGACGTCCCAGAGGATCGGGAGAGACCAGGTAACTCGGTGTTGGTGCTGCCCCTGGGGCTTCTCTCTGCCAGTCAGCTTCCACCCAGGAGCCAAGCCTTGCCTGGTCCCAGACTCTGGGGGACAGTGTTGTTCTGGGATAGAATTCTTTGCTCTAGAATTGCTTGGGGACGTTTACTACAAACGCAGACTTCCAGGTCTCACTAGAGCCCCCCACCAGGAAAATCCCTGAAGGTGGGAATCAGGAACCCCAGTGTAACTAAGCTTCCTACTAGGACGACATTGATCATTCCAGACCATGGGAAGGGGCGTAGTTCGTCTCTTCCATCCAGTTTTAGGCTGCAGAACTGCTGGTGGTGGAGCCCTAATGATCAGCATCACAGGTGGCCCCTGCTGGCCTTGAATCTTTTTTTTTTTTTTTTTTTTCCTTGAGACAGGGTCTCAGTATACAGTTCAGGCTGGTCTTGAGCTCACTTTGTAAGGGAGGCTGGTCTCGAACTTGCAACAATCCTCCTGCCTCAGCCTCCCAAGTGCTGGGATTACAGGCACCACCACGCCTGGCTGAATGGGGAATCTGAGAGCCCAGTTGGTAGTGGGTTAAAACTGGAACCCAGGGCTTCCCTCTGCATTCTAGGACTGGAGTCCATCCTTCCTCCTAAGTTCTGGCAGCCCTTGGCCTAGAGGGGTGGGCGAGTGCGGACAGAGCTGTGCGGCAGGAGGCAGGACTGAGCCGGCCCCCGTGTTCGAGCCAGGGCAGTGCGCATGGCGTGGCAGGTGAGCGTGCCCGAGCTGCAGGACCGGCTTCAATGTCCCATCTGCCTGGAGGTCTTCAAGGAGCCCTTGATGCTGCAGTGCGGCCACTCCTACTGTAAGGGCTGCCTGGTGTCTCTGTCCTGCCACCTGGACTCGGAGCTTCGCTGCCCCGTGTGTCGCCAGGAGGTGGACGGCAGCAGCTCCCCGCCCAACGTCTCGCTGGCTCGGGTGATCGAAGCCCTGCAGCTCCCTGGGGCTGCAGAGCCCGCGGTCTGTGAGCACCACCGAAACCCACTCAGCCTCTTCTGCGAGAAGGACCAGGAGCTCATCTGTGGCCTCTGTGGCCTGCTGGGCTCCCACCAGCACCACCCGGTCACGCCGGTGTCCACTGTCTACAGCCGCATGAAGGTGAGGAGGGTGGGCAGCCTGGGACCTGGCAGGACCACCCCGCGCCCGGCTTTGAAGCCCGCTCCCGTGCTCTCTGGCGCCACCATCTGGCAGAAACTGCAGTATGTCCCCGTCAGACTCGATTTCCCTCCAGCGCTGCCCCGGAGCATGCATGCGTTCATTCAGGCATCATTTTGAGCGAGTGCTGAACCAGGTGCTGGGCTTGCAGCCACGCGCAGGAGGGGGAGCGCTGGTGCCGCTTGGCAGCCCCTTCCTCCGCCGTTCTTTGTACTCCTGGTTTGTTTCTAGGGCGCAGTCCTCGTGTGCTCAGAAGGGGAGGACGTTAGTTTCCTGGTGTATTTCAGAGCCCTGAGCATTACTGCCTTAAAGGCTCGCAAGGCCTTTGTTGAATCAGCTAATCCCTAACTCCACAGACCACAGCATCGTCATTTAAGAGCCCGAGGAACAGCACCATCTCGGGCCGCTAGGTCGACATGAGGCTTCTGGGACAGTTTCATCTGCACAACTGCAGTCACTCCTCAGAACGAGTGTGGGAGGCGGGCAGCGCGGGGTTGTTATTGAATTGTACAAACGTGGAAAGCGGGGCTCAGAGAAGGAAGGATCTTACCCAAGGTCATGCCCGTGTAACTCGTAAGCAGCAGAGCTAGGACTCGGGCTGAGGCGAGTTTCCTTCGCACTGCTGTGGGCTGAGGCAGGACAGGGAAGGCACTTGTTTGGCGGTTGGTCATGGAAGGCGGGTGTGACAAAGGAAGCGACCTGGGTTTATGCAGAGACCTTGGGGGTGGGTGGTCAGGGCTTTGAAGCAGGTGAAGATGTGGTCAGACCCCTCCGGGGGTGGGAGGTAGAGGAGTGTGTGGAGGGAGGATAGAGGGGGATACAGGGGCGTGGGGACCTGAGTGGGCAGGGAGGCCTGGGGCACCCTGGGAGAGGCCTAGAAGGAAGGTGAGGACAAACCCTGAGGACTGAATGCGGAATGGGGGAAGGAGCAGTTGACTGACTTCTTCTGGGGCAGATGAGGGAGTACAGGAAAGGACTTGCTGCGGGAGCGTCCGGGGAAGGTGGGGCCGGACTGACCACGGGATGCAACCTGCAACACCCTTCATCTGTTCCTCTGCCTGCTGTCTTTTGGGCTTTCTTTGTTGTTGTTTTTTTTTTTTTTTCCCCCTGGTACCGGGAATTGAACTCATGACCTCGCGCTTGCCCAGCAGGCGCTGTGCCGCTGAGCTAAATCCCCAGCCCCTGGGCTTTCTTGTCTTTTCTGCCTGTGGAGCTCTGGAGCACTTGACTGTTTCCTCTCCCTGGGGCTGTGCTGACAGAATCCAGTACCCTCTCCGCCTGGTCAGGTGACCACTGAAATGCCCCTCTGGGGCTGTAGCAAGATGCTCTAAGGCCTCTGAGCAAGCACAGTGTCCACCTCTCCGCACAATGGCTGTATTCTTAGCTCCTTTGCTGAAATCCCTGCAGCTCTTCCATGCTCAGAGATTATCTAAATCAAACACACTGCAGCCACAAACCAGCAGGGTCTGGGCTAGCAGTGACCAGGTCACGGTGCAGGTGGCCGGTTTGGCACCCCCGAGGCTGGGCACACTGGGGTCAGGGCAGTCCAGAAGCACGGAGGCCTTGAATTGAAGCTGGGCCCACAGCTGCCGGGGATGGACTCAGGTGTGGGCGGGCGGAAGGCCACTGGTTTTCACCTGTGCCACGGTCAGCAGCGTCACCCTCACTGGGGCAGCCTTTTCATGATCCCTTTTGATAAAGGCTCATTAATTCTGGACCCACTGGTGATTGCAGCTTACCAGCAGGTCCCCTGCGGCCTGCGTTAGATGCAGGGAGAGTTGGCTTCAGATTGTTCGTCGCCACTCTCAGATGTGGGGAGGTGGCTTCCAGATTTGACTCCGTGTCCTGGAGAGGGATGACATTGAGATTTCTCCTGTCGTGACCGTTCCCGTGGCCATGTGGAATGCTCTTGAATACTCTTAACCCATTTTGGGGCCGTGGGAACCTGGGTAGTTCTGGTCCCCGCCTTGTCCCCGTGGGGGTGCTTGTGGCCACTGGATTACACCAACAAGGGAGAGCCCCAGCGCGGGCCTGAGGAGCAGAGGGGGTGGCAGGGCCCCTGCTCATGGGACCACGTCGTGCTGACTCCAGGAGGAGCTCGCGGGCCTCATCTCCGACGTGAAGCAGGAGCAAAAGGAGGTGGACGAACTTATTGCCAAACTAGTGAACAACAGGACCCGGATTGTGGTGAGTGCCCTTTCCCCCCCGAACGGTCCCGAAGAGCCCAGTTGTTCTCAGCGCGGGCGATGGAACTTAGGGCCTTGCACATGCTGGGCAAGGGCTTGGCCACCGAGCCACGCCCCCAGCAGGCCCAGTTCTATTTGTCCTTTATAGAAAACCGTATCTCCCATACAAAGCGGAGTTCAAAGCATTCCAGAGTGGGTGGGGAAAGTGAAAATCCTCCCGGGAGAATTCAGCCCAGTTGTCAGGCAGGACCGGCTCCAAGTTGGCTCTCGTCCTCCATGTCCTTGGGGCTGAGATAACCCAGGACTCGAGTCCCGGAGATAAACAGCCCAAAGCTCAGGCGTGACTTTCCTGCCCCTTGGTGCTGCTGCGTCTGTTTGCCCTTGACAGCTTGCTGTGGCGCCCTCCTGGTACCTGGGGGCAGAGGCCTGGCAGGGGAGCCCTGGGTGCTGTCTGCTCTACCTGAGTGAGCGCCTGCAGTGGCTGGGGCCACCTGCTCTCAGGCACCGTGATGGTGGCGGCGCTCGGGTCATCGGGGCAGGGCACTAGTCCGGGCAGCTCCCTCCCCCGCTTGCTCCCCCGGGCCTTTCAGGTCCTGCCCGGCTGTGGACCTTATGATAAGTCTTAGGAAAACAGGTCATGGTTGAAACAGGCCCAAGCAGAGCGGCTCATTTTGAAAGCACTGGGGTCCTGCCACTGGTCCCCGCCCCCACAGCTGACTCTCAGGCTCCCCAAGCCCAGTGTGAACCCCCTGGCAGGGGTCAGTCCGGGGAGGCCCCGGGGACACCGAGGCTGGTCACCGCACTTGGGCGGCTTGATGATGACTCTACCACGAGCCACCCTCCCCCGTCCCAGAACGAGTCTGATGTCTTCAGCTGGGTGATCCGCCGAGAGTTCCAGGAGCTGCACCACCTGGTGGACGAGGAGAAGGCCCGCTGCCTGGAGGGTGTGGAGGGGCACACCCGCGGCCTGGTGGCCTCCCTGGAGATGCAGCTGGAGCAGGCCCAGGGCGCTCGGGAGCGGCTGGCCCAGGCCGAGCGTGCGCTCCAGCAGTTCGGCAATGAGAGCCACCACGAGTTCATCCGGGTGAGTGATGCGGGTGGCGCCCCTGAGCCTCCCCCCCCCCCCGATGGCCAAGCGGCATCGCCATAGCGATTGCCTGCCTCTCTCCTGTCTTCCAGAAGTACCACGCCACGGCCACCAGGTACCAGCTGCCATGGAGCTGCGGGGCACTGTCAGCGGGGGGTGGGGTGGGGGGTGCTGGTGGCTGCAGGTATGGGCGGTTTGGTTTAAACAGCCCCTCCTGGGCGGCTTCCTATATGTGGCTCTGGTCATCGAGCCCAGTGCAAACAGCAAAAGTCACGTCCCTGCTTCAGAGGTCCTACAGGCTGCTGGGGAGGCAGACGGCACCCTGCAGTCCCAGTGCTGTGTGGACAGGAGCAGCGGGGGCATGGGCGAGCAACACGGGCATGGGGGCTGGAGGCAGGGGCCCTCAGTGGACCCCGGGCAGGAAGTGGAGCAGCGCTGTGCAGGGCGAGGGGGCGTGCGCTGGGGGTGCTGAGAGGACAGGAGGAGGGCCACTGGGGTGGGAGGCTTGGGGAGCCGCCTGGCAGAGGGCCCGGAAGCCTGCGCTGTCAGGACCACTGCCAGGAAGGAGCTGGGTGCTCGAGGCGAGGACAAGGAGGGTGTGGCGGGCAGGGTGAGCGCACACCCGGAGTGTGGATCTCCCGGGGGGCCTCCCGCCTGGGACAGAGGGTGGGGTGTGGCCACGGGCACAAAGCTCGCCCATCCCTGTGACTGTCCCCTGCAGAGCAGAGCGCCAGCAGGTGCGGCCCTTGGAAGGCACGTTCAGCCCTATTTCCTTCAAGCCAGGCCTCCACCAGGCCGACATCAAGCTGACAGTGTGGAAAAGGCTTTTCCGGAAAGTTCTGCCAGGTGAGGCTCCAACCTGTCCTTTTTCTTTTCATGAGTGGCATCAGAGGTGTGGAAGCCACAGTGAACTCAGAGGAAGGTGCGTGGGGCGCAGGTGAGAGCACCGTGTCTTATTAGCAGGCTGGGCACGCTGTGTCATTTCTGAGTCTCTGGCTCCTCATCTGCAAAGGGGAGCTGTTAGCGCCTGCCTGGCTGGGCGGCGGAGTTCACGTATACACTCACCTGTGTGTGGTTTCGTGCTTAACAAATGGTAGTTATTGTTCCCTGCCCAAAACCCCAAAGACATTGAATTCGTTCCTTCACTACGACCGTGCTGTTTACGTGTACATAAAGTCAACAGACTGGTTTTCCCCGTCAAAGGCAGAGACAATTATATAAAGAAAGGGGAGAGAAAGTCGCAGCGGGTGAACGGTGAGTCCTGCCCGTGCACTTGCGGGTAACCTGCGAGCGGCGGTTAGCAAGGGGAGCAGGCACGGTTTGGGTTTGTCCTTGCATAGGCTGGTCTGGCTAACGGGAGACGGTTGCTGCTCTCTTGGGTTCTCCAGCAGCCTCGAGGGGGGCTCAGACCACACCCCAGAGCAGCCTTCTGGGTCCTTTACCCACACCTCGCCCTGCGGCAGGCAGGAGTGCACCTGGCCCTGACTACAGCAGACCCCAAGCTTTGTGGCACCAGGAACCTGTTCTGTGGGAGACAGTTTTTCCCAAGATGGGAGGATGGTGTGCAGAGGATTCAGAGGAGCACAGGTCGCGGCAGGCACTGCCTCTGTGAGAATCTAACGCCCTGCTGAACCGACGGGCGGCGCTCCGGCTGAGAAGTGGGGGAGAGGGGCAGATGAGGCTCCCGGTGGGGCTGCACGAGCTCGCTGCTCACCTCCTGCTGTGCTGCCCAGTTCCTATCAAGCCCCAGCCCCACACTGGTCCACGCCCAGGGCCTGGGGCCCGGCTTTATTAGACTCTCGGCTCATGGTGCTGTGTCTGCGGGCTTCAACCATCACCCAGCCCTCCGTCCGGCACACAGCCGCGCGCCTGGCCCCTTCTAGGCTCTCGGGAGCCAGAGCGCCTGCTCCCGTGAGGAGCTCAGGGCCTGCCATCACCGGCCGCTGTAGGGGTAGCTTAACGCCAGGCCTTCTCTGCTCTCCCTGCCAGCCCCGGAGTCTCTCAAGCTGGACCCCACCACCGCCCACCCTCTCCTGGAGCTCTCCAAGGGCAACACGGTGGTACAGTGTGGGCTCCTGGCCCAGCGGCGTGCCAGCCAGCCCGAGCGCTTCGACTATAGCACGTGCGTCCTGGCCACCCGAGGCTTCTCCTGCGGCCGCCACTACTGGGAGGTGGTGGTGGGCAGCAAGAGCGACTGGCGCCTGGGGGTCATCAAGGGCACCGCCAGCCGCAAGGGCAAGCTGAGCAAGTCCCCGGAGCACGGCGCCTGGCTGATTGGCCTCAAGGAGGGCCGCGTGTACGAGGCCTTTGGCTGCCCGCGGGTGTCGCTGCCTGTGGCGGGCCGCCCCCACCGCGTCGGGGTCTACCTGCACTACGAGCAGGGCGAGCTCACCTTCTTTGATGCTGATCGCCCTGACGACCTGCGGCCCATTTACACGTTCCAGGCTGACTTCCAGGGCAAGCTCTTCCCCATCCTGGACACGTGCTGGCACGAAAGGGGCAGCAGCTCGCTGCCCATGGTGCTGCCCCCGCCCAGCGGACCTGGCCACCTCAGCCCCCCGCGGCCTACCAAGCTGTAGGCAGCCCTGGTGCTGCCCACCCTGGTGCCCTCCCACTGGACGCTGGGACCGAGGGCTGCCACTGGGTGACAGCTTCACTGTTCGGGAGGGACCCCCCTCATCTCTGTGTCCCTGGAGCATTTATGACAGGGAAAAAGGCCACAGTCCCTTCCTGGCCAGCCAGGTGGGGTTAGCAGAGCCAGGCCGGGGGACCCAATCTTGTCCCCCCTCACCCACCTGGCCACACTCTGCGCCCAGTCTTCCAGCTGAGGGTGGAAATGTTCCTTCCTCTTTACTGCGAACTTAAAACAAGTCTTAATAATAAATTTGACATTCCTTCTTTCTCTCTTTTTTTTTTCTTTTTGTCTTTTTGAGACAGGGTCTCACTATGCAGTTTAGGTTGACCTTGAGTTCATTTTGTAGCCCAGGCTGGCCTTGAACTTGCAATGATCCTCCTGCCTCAGCCTTCCGAGTGCTGGGATTACAGGTGTGCGCCACCACGCCTGGCTTCCTTCTTTCTCTTTAAATGATATAGTAGTTGCTATAAAACATAGTATTTAATACTTGGGTCTCTATTTTTGCTCTGGGGGGGATTGATCCCAGACCCTCACACATGGTAGGCAAGTTCTCCCCCATCCCAGCCTCTATGCCTACATTTTTTGTGTGTGTCAGGAATTGAACTCAGGACCTTGCATTTGCCAGGCAAGCGCTTGTGCTGCTGGGCTATATCCCCAGCCCTATGCCTACACGTTTAAAAGCATCTCTAACCTGTGGTGGCCTCAGGTCTTGCTTCCATCCTCGGCTTGCTTGATCTGTGTTTAGAGTCACATTCTGTCACAGTTTCTTCCTCAGACATCTCCGATGCACCTTTCAGGTAGATGGGATGGAAATGAAGCGGGAGGGGTAGGACAGGGAGGGTGCAGCTCAGTGACGTGGAGAGTGGCAAGCCAGCCCTGGTCACAGCAGAGGGGCAGTGTCCACTCCAGACCACAGCAGGGACGACTGGATTCTCCCCCAGGAATCGGACAGCTGGAAAAGAGAAAGGCTGGAGCTGTCACCTAAGACCTGGCACTGTCAAGAGAAGATCAGTAGCCCTGTGCCACAGAGCCCAGGAGCAGCCTGAGGGCGGCTGTGAGGGGCACCTCTGCCCTGACGCCAGGGCATGATGCCACGCAGGCGCCCAGGCAAGGCTTGAGCGCACTTTTCCCGAGATGGTAGCAGTTACAGTTTCCACGGGGGCACGGCCTGGTATCTCTGGGTGGGCATTATTCAGCCTACAACATCAGGCTTCTCTATCATACCCAAAGGCAACCACCATTATACACCAACGGCCCTAACCGGAAACCTAGGCCCTGCCTTCTCCCTCTCCAGCCCCTCCCCCTTCCTCCTCCTCTTCCTTTTCTTCTTCCTCGCCTTCCTCCTTCTCTTCCTTTTCCTCCTCTGCTTTTTTTTGGAGACAAGATCTTGCTATGTAGCCCAGGTTGACTTCAAACTCATAGCAATCCTCCTGCCTCAGCCTTTCAAGTGCAGGGATTACAGGCATGAACCACCATGCCCAGCTGTGTTATTCTTGATCTGGCTCTGTTCCTGTCCAACTTTTGTGGATTTAACTTTTAAATAATCATCTTAGCCCACTTCAACCCACTCCAGACACCAGCCCACGCCCACCCGCCACTTCCTCCCTAGATGGTGGCCATAACTTTCACTGGTCTCCCTGCCTTGACTCGGCGCCTTCGCTCCTTTCCCTTCTCCTCCCGCTGCTTCCCGCTGCTTTCCACAGCAGCCAGCCTGCTCTCTTAAGGAAGCAGATCAGAGGGTATTACTCTCCTAGTGAAACCCTTCAGTGGCCTCCTGTTTCCCTCAAGTTAGAGGTCAAAATCCTTCTTGTGGCTTTGAGGATCACACCTCCACCTCTTACTGCGTCTAGCCCTGTTAGTCTATTTCAGGTCCCCAAATACTCCATGTGCCCTCTTGCTCTGGGGACACTACACATGCTTCCTGAGCTGAACAGTCTGAACCTGGATAGTCCAAGTCCCACGCTGGGGCTGTCATGGGTGCCGGTGGACACAGTGTCAGGTGTTATAGACTTCATCTGCCTGGAGCTCTTGGGGTCTTCTTGCAAAAGCAAGCAAAAACATTGAAATGACGCCCAGGATTTGGAAGCATATTTATTTAATGTTAGATGGGCACTGACTAGGAATCAATTGTTCCTCAAAATGTCAGGCCCTGGTCTTTGGCAGTCTAGCGCTTATATGGGATAAGCAAGCAGGAAGAACAGAGGCAGAATGCTTGTCAACTGGGGATTGGTTTATACAAGGTGCATCACAGTGATCAGCCGTTTCTAAGAGACAGAAGCAACTGGAACTGCAACAGGAACTATTACCTGGGCAACTAAGGATCTGAAGTATACTGGTTGCGGGGGCATCTTCTGCTACATTCTTAGCCAGTGAAAAATGCCTGTCTGAGAATGGAGCCATCAGAGGACACAGGTGAAGAAAAACATAAGAGACACCTGAGTAAACAAAATAAGCTTTTTTTTTTTTGAGACAGGGTCTCATTATGCAGTTCAGGCTAGCCTTGAGCTCACTTTGTAGCTGAGCCTGGCCTTGAACTCACAGCAATCCTCCTGCCTCAGCCTCCCGAGTGCTGGGATTACAGACCTGTGCCACCACGCCCGGGTAATAAACTCAGGTTTTAATTTGAAAGTTTGCTGATAATATTTGGGCCCCTCAATCTAGCCATGCTTGAAATAAGTGCCCTGATCCCCAACCTCCAGGAATTCCTATGTGTGTAAGCAAATAATCTCTCCCCCTTTTTGTTCTCTTTAAATAGCTGAGATCTTGTCACTTGCAACCAAAGGAGTTCTGACCAGCTAGGTTACCTGGATACAAAGACAAGGGTTCCTAGACCCCATCATGTGAGACTTTTGAAAAAGAACTGGTTGGTTGTCCTTTCTCTTTATGTAAAAACCTTTGGAACCTAACAGTTTTGGGCCCATTTTATTCTACCTATACCTGTTCCGCACTCACCTGCAGGAGGGGATGCTGTTTAGTGTGGGTCAATTCTGATACAACTAGTTGTCCAATATCGCATTAATTTGTGCTTATTCATTCATGCACTCTACCATCACATATTTTACTATTTTAGATATTTATGATAAGGAAGACACTGATCTAGATGGTAGGGGTAGAATGGTAGCAAGGCAGACAAGGTCTTTGTCCCTGTGGAGTGAGCTAAGGTGACAGACAATAAACCACAAAGAGACTAAGATAAGCATATACAGAATAGGTGCAACGATAAAATAAAACACAAGTAATAGGATTTGATGGGGTGCTACTAAAATATCACTGTGCGGGGAGACTGGGGGCCGAATTTGGTGCTGCGACCTGCCCACTGAGCTAACCCCCAGACTTTTTTAAAATGTATTTTTATTTTTAGGGAGACAGGTCACTATGTCACTAAATTACAAACGCCTGTAATCCCAACACTCTAGGAGACTAAGCAGGAGGACGGCAAGTTCCAGCCCGGCCTGGGCAGCATGGCAATTCAGCAAGACCCTGTCTCAAAGTAAAAATTTAAAAAAAAGGGGTGGATGAGGATATAGCTCAACGTGAAGGCCCTGGGGTCAATCCCTAGTACCACACCCTCTAAAAAGCCACTTGTTAACCTTGCGCTACAGAAAGTCAAAGCCTGAAACAACTCAGCAATTCTAACGTAGACCATATCAATCCTCTTGAAACACGCTTGTTGAGATGCTACGAACCTAACCCAGAGCTTCGGTTCTACCGGGCACGCGCTCCACCACGTAATTGGACAGAAGCCTGTGCCCTCTGCCCCCGGAAGTCCGGACGTAAAGAGCGTGCGGCGCGGCCACAAAGCTTGCTGTGCTTTGCGACAGCGCCGTAAGTGCGCATGGGCGCGGGAACATGGCGGTGTATGCGGCCGCAGCGACGGTACTGGCGGGGGTGGAAAACCGCCAGGGCTCGCTCAAGGGGCTGGTGTACGCCAGCAAATTCCAGGTAACAGGGCTGGACGCAGGAAAGGTGGGGTTCCGGGGCCCGAGGTCGGCCAGAGGGTGTCCACGTCGGGCCCCGCTCAGCGTGTCTCCCTCCCTTCGGCGGCGCAGAACGTGAAGCAGCTGTACGCGCTGGTGTGCGAGACGCAGCGCTACTCCGCCGTGCTGGACGCCGTGATCGCCAGCGCCGGCCTCCTCCGCGCCGAGAAGAAGCTGCGGCCGCACCTGGCCAAGGTGAAGGGCGAGGCGGGGCGGTGTCGCAGCCTCTCACTGGGTTATGCATTGATTCCAATGAATTTGCTTTAACTTCAGGCCTTGCGTAAAGGAGTAAATGGAACAGAAAGCCGGGCGCGGTGGATCGTGCCTGTAAACAATCTCAGCACTTTGGGAGGTTGAGGCTGAGACAGGAGGATCTCAAGATAGAACCCCGCTCCGTCAGTTTAGGGACTTCGCGAGATCCTGGCTAAGGATAAAAAAATTAAAAAGGGCTGAGGATGTTGCTCAGTGTGAAAGTCCTGGTTTCAATCTCCAGCTCCATGCCCAGAGAAGAAAAAGAAAAAAAAAAGCAGTGGGAGAGACTAAGGAAATGGAAGGGGTATTTTGGCAAGGAACGGAGTTGAAGGCCGGGGCTCTGCCGGTGAGCGGCTTGGACAAAGGGTCCAGGCGTATCTGCCCTTACTTGCAGTGTTCATGCAGCAGGGACTGTGGCACCTGGTAGGGTCTCTTTAACCCTGCTAGTTCCGGCACTCTGCAGCGTGCCAAGGGGTGAATGCCTAGGGCTGGCTTATTTTGTCTTTGTTTCTCCCTCCGCAGGTGCTCGTGTATGAGTTGTTGCTGGGAAAGGGCTTTCGATGGGGCGGGGGCCGGTGGAAGCCACTCCTGGGCCGTCACCAGGCCAGGCTCAAGGCTGAGTTGGCTCGGCTCAAGGTTCACCGGGGTGTGAGCAGGAACGAGGACCTGTTGGAAGTGGGGTCCAGGCCGGGCTCAGGTGAGCTGGAGGGAACTGCGGGGCCTGGGGAGGGTGCCAGCCGTCAGGCTCTAAGAGGAAAGGGTCGGTGTTCCCGCCCGCTCAGTGCCCCGTTGCATCCTAGCCTCCCAGGTGCCTCGCTTCGTGCGGGTGAACACACTGAAGACCTCCCCCGACGATGCGGTGGATTATTTCAAGAGGCAGGGTTTCTCCTACCAGGGTCGGGCTTCCAGGTGAGCGAGCTCAGCACCCTTCCTGGCTGCCCTCCTCACTCCCCACCTTGAATGAAATCCGTAGGCACTGCAAATATGTACTAAAAAATACGGGAAAAACCACAAAGTTCCACAACAGATAATGTGAAAAACTTCAAAGAGGAATCTGTTTTTCATTTGTAAAAAACTCTAAAAGCGGCTGTTGACTGCTCACTTCATGGAGACCTTGGCTGTTGCCAGCCTCCTCCCTCTGCCTGCTGCAGCTCTTCCTCTGGCCTCTCCTCTTCCTGTTTTGTCCCTTGCTGCCTCTGAGCGCTGCCTGTGCTCCCTCCCTCCCCTCTTCCTCCTCCTGCCTCTGGAACGCTGGCTCCTGGGCCCGGTGGAGTGGAGTGGAGGTTGACGTGCAGCCTCGGGGCTTGGTCAGGCTGCTGGGCGTGATGCGCAGAGCTTGCAGAGCTGTAGGGACCTCGGCCGCTGCGGTGCCGCTCTTGCCTGCCCTGAGGTGGTGCTTCCGGTAACGGTGAGCACCTGCTGGCAGATGCGTCCCACTGCTTCGTTTGTGCCAGGTGTGTTGAAGAAGCCCCCTTCATCCGATCCCTCCCATGGCACAGAAGCGCAGGTGGGGCTCCTGCTGCCGGGACGTGGGAGGGCTGGGATCCTGAATCCAGCTAGTCTGGCCAGAGACCATTGTCTTAGACTGACTTCCCCGCTGTTTTTCATTGTACTTCTTTGCCGCGCTGAGGATTTAAACCTTGGGGCCTGGTACATGCAGAGCTAACATCTTACCACTGGGCCCCACCGCCCCACCCCTGCATAGCCCGTTTGAATTTACTTACTGTGTTTTGGTTTTGGGTAGTTCAGGCTGGCTGGCCTCAAACTCACAGTGATCCTCTTTCAGCCTCCAGTGTTGGCATTCTAGGCCTGCACCACCACTCTCAGCTTACTTCTTTAAGTCCACACTGGGCTTTAGCTTGTGAGCTTCCTGCTTTGGTTCAGATTGCAGGCACGTGCTATACCAGCTATAGCAAGCTTAAGTATTGCTTGTAAAATGAGAAAAGCGGGGCCTGGTGTGGAGGAAACCAGAAAATGTTGAGTTAATGGTTTGTGTTCTCTGGAAGCCTTGAAGACCTGCGGGCCCTCAAGGGGAAGTACTTTGCTCTGGATCCCTTGTTGCCTGAGCTGCTGGTGTTTCCTGCGCAAACAGATCTGCATGAACACCCACTGTACCGGGCAGGTCACCTCATCCTGCAGGACAAGGTAGGGAGGACGGGCGGGAAGGGGATGCATGTGCCCCACCCCCACCCCGGCTCTGTTCACCTCCTGCTGTGCTCCCGCCCTGCCAGGCCAGCTGCCTCCCCGCCATGCTGCTGGCCCCACCACCTGGCTCCCACGTCATCGACGCCTGTGCTGCCCCAGGCAACAAGACCAGTCACCTGGCGGCTGTTCTGAAGAACCAGGGGTGAGGGCCACCTTGGGACAGGAGAAGGGAGGGGTGAGGCCTGATCCTCGGCTCTGCAGGGAGCATAGGGGGTGTTTAGTAGGGAACAGAGGCTGAGGACAGCGGGGCTGGCCCAAGCTAAGCTTCGTGGGAGCTGCAGGTGAGATGTCCCTCATCACTTCATGCTTGACGACAGGCCAGTTGGTATTTAGTATGTAGGTATTTAGTAGTATTTCCTGCGTGTCCTGACTTAACGTATGTCTCGGTGTGGGACGTGCCAGAGATGTGGGCTCCCTTGGGTGCCCTGTACGTTCTGCCCACCCCGGCTCTGCCCTCTCCCCCAGGAAGATCTTTGCCTTTGACCTGGACGCCAAGCGGCTGGCATCTATGGCCACTCTGCTGGCCCGCGCTGGGGTCTCTTGCTGCGAGTTGGCTGAGGAGGACTTCCTGGCAGTGTCACCCTCGGACACACGCTACAGGCGGGTCCAGTATATCCTGCTGGATCCCTCCTGCAGTGGCTCTGGTGAGATGCGGAGGTTGGCCGTGGGGCTGCAGCCTAGATCAGAGGGTTGCTTGTTCAGCCCCAGCTGGGACTCAAGTTGGCCGCGGGACTTCGGGCAAATGGCCCCGCCTGTGAGGCTGGGGCTCCCGCTGGGAACGCAGGTCTGCGCGGCTTTTGCACAGTGCGACCCTCCACAGGCATGCTGGGCCGGCGGCTGGAGGAGCCTGGGGCGGAGCCGCCCAGCAAGGAGCGGCTGTGTGCCCTGGCCGCGTTCCAGCTTCGAGCTCTGCGCCATGCACTCGCTTTCCCTGCGCTGCAGCGCCTTGTCTACTCTACCTGCTCCCTGTGCCCGGAGGAGAACGAGGATGTGGTCCAGGAGGCCCTGCAGCAGAGCTCGGGGGCCTTCCGGTAATGCATGCCCCAGGCAGGGCTCGGACGGCGGAGGGAGCTCTGCTGCCCAGTGCAGGCTGAGTCCTCTCCCTCCGCAGGCTCGCGCCCGTCCTGCCCTCCTGGCCACACCGAGGCCGAGGCACCTTTCCAGGGGCTGAACACTGCCTCCGAGCCTCCCCGGAGACCACGCTCACCAGTGGCTTTTTCATTGCTGTGATCGAACGCACAGAGGTGCCCAGGTGAGGCGTCGGGGGCAAGGCCTGCTTGGGAGATGGGGGCAGCTGGAGCTCACCTGACCCCCACCCTTGCCCTGCAGCTCAGCCTCACTGGCTGAACAGCCAGCACCAGAACCTGTGTCCAGCCCAGTGCCAAAGAGGAAGAGGCGGCGGAAAGCAGCGGCCGGCGAGGGCACGCAGCAGGTGGCGGGTGGTGAGCTGCAGGATGCACACTGAGCACCGGGCCACAGCGTGGGATCTGCGAGGGAAACTGCCTGGCGGCGCGCCTAGCTGCGGACAGTGGTGTCCTGGCCTGTGGGTCCCTCCCCAGGGCTGTGTCCTTACTGGTGACAAGTGCTGCCCACACAAAAGACAGGACAAGGTCTATGATGGATCACAGTTTATTCTCATGACATAAGCAAAGAGAAAAATCTCACATTCATACTAAAAATGCCAACTAGCCCCGACAAACCAAATCTCATCTGTAACGGGAAGCGCCAGCCTCCTGTGCCTGTGCCATGCGCGTCCTCGCTCACGCTGCAGGCCCACCCGGGAGCACGGTAGCTGGCTCAGCACCCACAGCCAGGGGCCCCGATGCAAGGCCAGGCGCGCTCACCCTGACAGGTCTGGGCCTTGCGCTCCTCCCACATTCAACCTCAGTCACTAAGGGGGAGGGGACTAGTTACAGCTACGTCACATTATTTATAAAATGAGGATTAAGTTTACATAATCCGGAAGGAGCTCCAGTTCCTCGGGAGCGAGGGGGCCCCTTCTCCACACAGGCATAACTTAACTATACGGCTAATCTCTAGTCCATAGCGTTTATACTTAACCACCTCAATGAACCAAGCTTGAAGGAATTTAAAAGGCAATTTAGCTTAAATACAAAAATAAATTTTTATTTTGTTAAAAAATGTTTAAATATTTTTCTTTTAATTTAGACACACGCATTCATACTTCTCCCAAAGAGGATGGGCGTGGCAGCGAGGCGCTGGGGCCTGGGGGGTCTGGGAGCGGAGCAGGCTGGAGGAGACCCTGCTGGGGGCGACTGTGACTGCACCGTGCGCTTCGACAGCATGGGTCTCCTGCCTGGCCGGGGTGGTCTCGCCTGCAGTGAGACCAGGTAAGCGGGAGAACGGTGGAGGGGAGGTCTTGCGTCCCCTGACCCCATCCCCCGGGCTGCCAGCCCTTAAAGTCAAAACCATTGCAAAATTCAGAAGTCAGCACTGTGGCCATCAAGTGGTGCCACTTTCCACATTCCATTAACCAGGCCCAGAAGACTTGAGACAGTTAGGTCCGGCACTACCAACATGCCGCCACACATACAATTCAATTCTTCCTCCAAACTCGATTCAAAGAGCAACAGACAGCGTCAGACAGTAACACAGGACAAGGCTTGGGACGTGCGATCCCAGAGAGGCAGATGCAGGCCGGGAGGCCAGAGGGCAGGGAGGCAGCTGAAAGCGGGGAGCATCCTGCCTGCTCCAGGAGCTGCGCTCGGAGTGAAAGGTTCACCCCCGGCTCTGCCAGGCTAACAGTCTTGAGCCACCAAGCTTTTAGGGGCCAAACTGACAGAGGACTGGAGGTGAAGCCACCTCAGACTTGGCAGGAGGAAGTGGAACAGCAGGAGCAGCACCCACTGGGGTCTCCAAGGCAAAGCTAGGTTCAAGGTCATTTAAAAATGAGCAAATCCTGCAGGGAACCAGTGAGGGACAAAGCAGCAAGAAATGAGGAAAGAGAGTCCCCTAAAGGGACCAGAGGAGGAGAACCACTTCTTATAGCCAAGCCAAACAGGTAAAGCTTAGGGAAGATCCATTTTCCTCAACCCATCCAAAGCATGGGAGACCCAGGCGGGTGCACTGCACCCTCCACGAGAGGGCGCTCGGGGAGAAGGTGGGAGGAGGCGCCTGGCTAAGCTGGGCACTAAACGAGTCGGGGGAGTGGACGTTATGTACAGATGTTTCTTTAGTTCTCCAGCCTCACCAGAGCAACTGTTCAAGTAACGCAGCGGGCTTCTGCCCAGGCCCCTCCCACCTGCTTCCTCTGGAGGGAGAGGGCCCCTGGGCTGCCGTATGTCTGGAGGCTGAAGCCAGGGATCTGGGCGAGGTTTGCTGTACGGAACTCGAAGGGGCAGAGGCTCTTCCTAGCAGGTGCTGAGGTCCAGATGTGGGTGAGAGGTTGGGGGAACAGGGACAAGCAACAGAGGCTATTTCTTTCTGGTGTGCTGCCTTCGGGCCTGCAGTCGCTGTCGAGCCCCTGGGGTCTTGGATCCCGCACCAATGGAAAAGGAAGGGGCCGCTGATCCTAGAAAGGTTGACAAGGTCTCGTCAGGGCAGCTGTTCCCCGAGAACAAAGCTCTGAAACGCAGGCCGACAGCAGCAGCAAGGCTTCCCTATGGCGCTGCAGGTCCACACAGGTGGGGCTCAGCAAGACGCAAAGTCCCTCCACAAGCCGAGCAAGGCCCAGAGACTGCATTCACTTGGCTTCCCAAGCGTGCCTGGCACGGCTACCCACAGGGCTCCTCTTTGGGCTCTGCCGTTCAGACCCTCAGTCCAATCACCACAGGCCTGAGGGCCAGGAACCCGTGCCCCACCTCACACCCCGCACTCACCGAAAGGCGTGACTCCCGCGAAGCCCTGGGCGGGTGTTGAGGGTGTCCCGAAAGAAAGGCTGCTGCCCGTTGTGCCCATGCCAGGGTTCGGGGTGCTCTGTCCAAAGGTGGGTGTGGCGGTGCCTGGGAGAGGGCAGAGGAGAGTCAGGCTGGTGAGCGAGCGGCCCATAGTTCAGCAGCTCCAGGACGTCCGCTCTGCACCCTACATAGCAGCCTAACTGCGAGCTCCCTCACCCAGCTGCAGCCCCTCCCACCTCACCGTGCGGCCCCTCGCCTGGTGCACCTCCAGCTGCCTCGTGGCTCCTGGGCCAGAGGGCAGGGATCTTCTCTGCTTCCCAGTGCCGCTGCCTTCCTCTTCTACACCCCCAGCTCCTGGGACTCATTCACCTCCAGCGCGTCACCGCTGCCTCACTGTGCACCGTGCTGACTCTCCCCTGCCCAGGGCGCCTTCAGCATCTGCCAGGGCAGCTCACCATCCTCAGCCCACCTCTGCTACCTCCCACGGTCACTCCCGGCACACCAGGACCCACTCTGCTCCCACAAGTACATGTGGCTCGCGGTTCCAGAGCTGTGCCCGTGACCCCTGCCGCCTCTGCTGTGCGTGTGGGGGCTCCGCGCAGCTCGCATGAGGGACCCGCCTCAGCAGTCGCGGGGAGAGCACCGCAATGGCCTCGTTTGACATTTATCCCCAGTTTCGCAGCCCGAAAGAGCGCCTGGCAGCCCTATTTCACTCACTCCTGTTCGTTTCTCGCTACCCAAAGTAAGTTTCAAGAGGCCCTCCCTCAGCGCGTCGTCCTGCATGCTCTGCTGAGACCGCCCTGCTCTGAGACCCAAGTTCCCCTTCACTACGGCAACTAAGATCTTTCTGCTCGCCAGCCTCCTCCGCACCTTTTCTCCCCTGTACACCTCCGGCCGGGCCTGGCTTCCCGGCTGTCACACAGCTCGGGCCCAGGCTGTCCCTCGAGTGCTCGTGCTGCTCTCACCCTGCGCTGCCAGGCCCCGCGCCACAAAGTCCTCCCCGCCTAAGTGTTCCGTGCTCAGGAAGCTGCTCCTGGACCGTGTCACCCACAGTGGCCTCTCCAAAGCCTTGCTACACACACGCACAGACACACACGCCGCGCCGCCTGGCCCAGCCAGCCCCCCTCACCTCCGAACACAGGCTTGCTCTCGGCCACGGCGCCCGCGCTGAAGGTGAACGGTATGCTCTGGCTGGCCGTGCCCAGGGTGCTCTGAGTGAGAGCCCCGCCAAAGGGGGCTCCGGCGCCTGTGGTCCCACTCTGTCCAGCTCCGAAGCTGAAGGCTCCAGAGGTGGAGCTGGTGCCCAGGGCAGCCACCCCGAGCCTGAAGCCCCCACTGCTGCCAGCCGTGGCCCCCGATGGCCCAAAGGTGAACGGGGATGGCGCGGAGCTGCTGAACACAGCCCCACTGGTCCCGCTGCTGGCGGTCTGCGTGGTAGCTCCGAAGCCCGCGGTAGTCACCGCACTGAAGGAGAAGACGGCCGTGCTGCTGCCAAAGGCTTGCTGTGTGCTGGCCGGGGTGCCGAACGCAGAGGCTGCAGCTCTCAAGCTGCCAAAAGCTGAGTGCACAGAGCTGCCAAAGGCAGGCGGAGGCGGGGCCGGGGCCGGGGCCGGGGCCGCAGAGTTCCCAAAGGTGAAGGAGCTGCCGAAGCCGGGGGGCAGGGCTGGCGCGGCAGAGCCCTGCTGCTGGCCATCCGTGGCCCCAAACGTGGGCTGGGGGTTGGCCCCTGGGTACGGTGGCGGGGGGACAGGGGGCTTGGCGGCCGAGCCGAAGGGAATGTTGAATGCTGGGGTGGTCGTGTGGCTGAATGTCAGTGTGGACTGGCTGGTGGTGGCCGGGGCCAGGGCGGTGAGGGTGCTGCCAAAGCCACCAAAGCCAGCAGTGCTGCTGCTGCTGCTGCTGGCGGCTGTCTGAGCGGTGCTGGGAAGGGACTGGCCAAAGCTGGTGACGGCCGTGCTTGCGGGCACGGCAGGGGACTTGTCGAACTGGAACATGGAGGTTACGGATGGAGTAAAGCTGGCCGCACCGGCCGGGGAGGCCCCAAAGAGGAAAGGCTGAGCGGTGGAGGCAGTGGTGCTAGTCGTGCTGCTCAGGGTGCTGGCCCTGCTTTTCACCTCGAAGCTGAAAGGAAGCTTCAGCGCGGAGTCTGCAGAGGTGCTGGCTGTGGTGACAGAAGCCACCGTGGAGGTGGCAGTAGCCAGGGGAGGGAAGGCAGGGGTGGCTGTGGCTGCAGCAGGGACCGGAGCAGCTGTGGCCTTAAAGAACGGAGCTGACAAGGGCAGGGATGCAGGCTGCCCCAAGCTGCCAAAGATGGGCTTGAAGGTCGGGGTCGCAGTGCTGGTCGTGGTGGGGAGGGTGGCGCTGGAGGTGGCGGTGGCTGCCAGGGAGGAGCCAGACGGCAAGGGGCCTTCACTCTCGACTTTAGGTGGTGGCTCAAAAATGGGCTTGAACATGGGAGAAGCGGAAGACGGGCTGGGTGCAGCGGCAGGGGTGGCAGGGCTGGAAGGCGGGGGGCTCAGCATCTCAAACGGTGTGCTCTGCTTGGGCGCAGGAGCCGGGCCCGGGGATGCGGGGGCCTTGGCAGGTGTCTCAGCCTGAGGGGCTGCAGGTGGCTTGGTGTCGGTGGCTGGGGCTGTAGAGACAGCAGGGGCCGGGGCCAGGAGGGTGGCTGTGGGTTTCGTGTCAGAAGAGGTGGCTGGCAGGGGTCCTGACAGGGAAGAAGCAAGAGGCGCCAAGAGGCTGGGTGTTTTCGGAGGTGTAGGGGCCACACAGGCCACCACTGCAGCAGGTTCTGCAAGAAGAGGGAGGAAGGTGAGTTGTGAAGACCTCCCTGGGTGGCGTGCTACAGTCTGTGCCCTCCAAGAGCCACCGCTGTGCGGGGATCCAAAAGCCAGTTGGGAAACTGACCAAGTCTGTGCCGCAGACCTACAAAGGCCATCAAGGAGGCATTCCTAGTTACAGACAGACAGACAGACAGACGTGAGCAGAGCCTAATTGGGGCGATGCTGTGTGAGGATGAAGGGAAGTGAATCCTCAGAAACCCAGGCACTCACCTAGATGCCTCTTAGCCGCCTAGCAAAGATGAACCTCCCACCTTTACCAATGAAGTGCCAAGTGCAGAGCTCCAACCATGAGCCCTGGAGAGGTGGAACACCTCTGCAGCACACGCTCTAGCAAAGCGCAGGGGCAGAGCTTTGGCATGTGGCGTACAGGCCTGCGGCCTAGGCGCTAAGGGCACTGCCATACTCACATGGGCAGACACCCGACGAGGGCTGTGTCATTCTCATTTCACAGGTGACAACAGCAGCCAGGGATCCGGGCTGCAAACCACAAGCCAAACTCAAGCCACCCTCCCCAGCTTTATTTCTGTGTGGCAGGATGCCATCCCTCGCATTTTCTAATACAGAATTTGGAAGCAGCAAAACTTTTGCCACTCACAGGGCTCTAAAAGCAGAGGAAGTCTGAACCCACAAACAACCCCAGTTCCCTCCCGAATGCCAGCGTCACACAGGCCCGGCTCAGCACCTGCTCAGAGGTGCTGCGCTCACCTGGGAAGGACGGAGAGCCCGGGGCTCTCTGCATGTTCTTCAAGCTCTCCAGCAGGGGGTTTGTGCCCGGCGCTGGCAGGGATGCTGCTGAGGAGGATGCAGGCACCGCCGCAGGCAGGGAGAAAGTGAACGAAGGCGGCGTGCTGACCGGGCTCTCAGTGATGGAGTTTGAGGCAGCATCTAGGGAGAAGGATGAGATGAAACCCCCGCCTCACTTGGGACTCTTTCCAGACAGTGCGGGAAGCTCTGGGGCTCGTCTGACCCCCCAGGTTCCTGTGAGCTTCAGACCCAGGAAAAACCCTTTCCCATCAAACCGAAGGAGTGGAGTGCAGCAAACCCCTCTGGAGCGCGCCACCAATCTGCATTTCTTACTGGCTTTGTCCTCCAAGACTTTGTTGAAAAACTGCAGTGAAGCCTTCTTCTCCAGGTCCAGGTCTTCCGCAGTGACGGAATAGCCGAGCTCGGGCGGGGGAGGCTGCCGGCAAGAAGAGGGACTGGTCAGGCTAATGCCGGCAAAAGCGAGAAACCTGTATCCAGCCTTCCCCAGAGGACTGTGCAGAGGGCGACAGGCAGAATGTACCAGTGTCAGCCGGTCCCCTCGCCTGCAGGGCAGCAGCTGAATCTTGCGTTTCCGCCGCCCAGAGCTGCCAGGTGGAGATGGGGACGTCCACAAGCTCTGCTGTTTGCAGGTGGTTGTCTCCGCAACTGAAGAGAAACAGAGGTGCTGGCTTCCTTCCTACTCCCAGGAGTGGAGTTTTGTCTACCCACTGGTGTTTTGTGTTTTTGAGACAGGGTCTTGCTGTGTAGTTTAGGCTGGCCTTGAGCTCACTTTGAAGGCCAGGCTGGCCCTGAACTCACAGCGATCCTCTTGCCTCAGCCTCCCAAGTGCTGGAATTACAGGCGTGCGCCACCACGCCTGGCTTTCAGGCCGGTTTTTAACAGAGTTGTCACTGGGCATCCTGAGAAGGTTCTCTCCCACAGCTGGGGTTCCTGGACACTTTTGCAAGATTACTTCCAAGAGTCAAGAGGAAATAAAGGAAAACAGCCCCAAATGTGTGCATCCAGCTGTTTCCCGGGTAGCACCACCCTGGACTGCTCACAGACCTCGCTGACCCAGTCACTGCCATGCTGTCTTCTCCCACCAAGACCTTGGCAGGGCAGGAGTTCTCTGCACCCACCACACCCACAACAGTGCTGCTCCAGCCCGTTTTCACTGGCAAGAACCTGTATTCCTCATTCCCCAACCCCCAAGCACCGCCAGCCGTTCTGCTGCTCATCAGCTCACCCCTTTCTCCCTGGGACTCCTTGTCTGTCACCAGTGGAGTCGAAGAACTGGCATGATGACACGCCTCCTCTTCTCTGCAGGGATTTTGAAAGGCAGAATTTAGTTCAGAAAGACTTTCGGACCTGAGCACTGGATAAATAGTGCCTTATACTCTCCTCACTACTGAGGGGCCAATGCCTAGAATGACCATGACTTATCTGTATGTTAGGACAAAAAAAGGCCAAAAGAAAATTCTGCAGAAATGAAGGGAGCACCTCAGGGAGGCCAGGGAGAAAGCTCTTGTCTTAAAACAAGTGTAAAACATAACCTTCAAAAACTTACCGTCTGCCAAATCCTGAGAGTTCTAGGCGCAGACGTGACCCCTCAGGGAGTGGAGCTGCAGTGCCACGAGACACCAGAGTGCCACGGACAGAGGGCACCCACCCGCAGACATGATCCACCCTGTGCCTCAGCCACCCCGCTGGAGGAGGAGGCCCGTGCAGGGCCTCTGTGGGGCAGGAGGCAGTTCCGGGCCGTTCGCTGCCCTTCTCAAGCACTTGAGTGCTTGGACCTACAGATCCGAGTCACACACAGACCAGAGCTGGGTCCACGTCCCCCTTTCCTCTCCTCTCACTCGCCCTTCAGCAAATGGTTAAGAGGAGGAGATGCTGATCACCTTGTCTTCTTGGCTGGCCTCTCTGGGGTCTGGGAGCGGGAGGAGGCAGGGCTAGAGAAGGGCGAGGAAGGGGGTCCACTCCTCTTCCGCAGCTAGAAGTCAAAAGAGACAGTACTAAGCTTCAAGACAACTGAGGACCTAACCTATGAAGTCACTCTGTAGTCTATGCATCACTGCACATAGTTCCTTTTTAAATAATTAAGAAAATCTTTATGAAGAAAGGCTGGGGATGTAGCTTAGCGGTACAGCACTTGCCTAGTGTGTGCAAGGCCCTAGGTTCAATTCCCAGTCCGGGGAAAAAAAAATCTTTATGAAGAAAAGACCCTTGAAAAGCCAGGGGTGGTGGTGCTCGCCTCTAATTCCAGTACTTGCTAGGCTGATGCAGGAGGATCTCAGCAAGTTAAGAGGCCAGCCTGAACTAAATAATGAGACCCTGTCACAAAACAAAAAACAAAATAAAAGAGAAAGAAATACCGCTAAAAAGAGTCATCTGCCAGTAATAATTACAGAAGTAAAATAAAAGAGTCTACAGAGGTAGTGGAATGGTTAATAAACACAGAAGGGACAAATACATTTCGCCATGTATTGGAAAATGGCATGTTACACTGGTTTCTAATACACTGTATTCTATAAGAATCAGTCTGTGCCCATTAAAACATTACAGATGAAAAGGGAAGAGAATGTCACAGTCACATACACACACACTGAAGAAACCAGCAGCTCAAACAGGTCACTATGCACACAGTTCTTCACACTGTTTTCTATAGTTCTGAGCTACATCTCCAGGCCTCTTATAATTTTTTGAATTCTGAGGTAAGGTCTCACTAAGTTGCCCAAGGCTGGCCTTGAATTTGCAATCCTCCTATCTTGGCCTCCCAAGCCGGTGAAATTATACACATGCGCCATGCCTACTTCTATAAATTTCTGAGATCACAGGAGTACCTATTAAGTCGCCTTCCTATAGTAGTCCTTCAAGTAATACTTCAATCTTAGAGAAATACTGTTATTCAACCAGGTCCTTGAGAAAGTACATAATTACTGTTTCCAAGCTTCCACTAATGTTATTATCCATGTCCTGTGCTTCTCTCAGTACATGTGGGAGAACTTTCTAAACATAAAGCCGCTGACTAAAAGGGCATGAGCTCCTCTAATGCAACTGAGTCCTGCTAAATAGGACAACTGATGCTCCCACCAGCAACGCTCAAGAACCCTGTATCTTCTGATTCTTCTGTGGTTTCAACTCTGCATTTAAAGCTTCGTTTGGAATAGGTTTTCTAATATATTAAAGCTCTTGAAAATGAGAAAAGACAAGTAGCCCTTCAGAAAGATGCAAAAGATATGAACTAGTAAGAGTAGGGGCAAGAGAAATGAAAATAATCAATAAATGTATGAAAAGGTGATCAAAGTCACTCAGGAGAGGAGAATTAGATACTACTCTTCATGGGAACGACCCCAAGCTATGACAACCGCGACACTCTCAAACATATCAACCTGAACTCTCTCTGGAGGGGAAGCAAGATTTCACATTCATCTCACCTCTGACCTGGGAATCTGACTTCCAGGATTCTACTCCTGAAGTGCAGCTGCCAAGTAGGAAATGACAGAAGAGGGGAAATAGTCTTAGCAGCATGGTGTGTAACAGCACAAGACTTAAGACAACCCAGCATTTCTCAGCAGAGGACTTGACGGACCACGCAGTTGTAAGAAAACAGATTTCTATATATATACCGCTATGGAGTGATCTCCAGTACCTATTAAGAGGCAAGGTTTAAATGTGCACATGCTGCTTACTACTGTAAGTGTCTGAAGTTTTATTCTGTCTTAGTTGCTTTTCTCACTGCGGAGACAAAATCCTGACACCCAAAGTTAACGGAGGAAAGATTCATTTTGGGTCACAGAGAGAAGGTTTCAGTCCATAACTGGTTGGCTCCAGGGCAGGGTGGCATAGCAGAGGGACATCAAAGAGCAGAAGATAAAACTGCAGCAGCAATACACAGCAAGCAATAAGTGGACAAGAGCCCTCTTGCTCTCCCTTATATTTTATCCAGTTACCTGCCCTTAGGGCGGGATCACTCACACCCAGAACCATGCTAAACCAATCAATCAGTGGACTAACTTAGTAAACACACACACACACACACACACACACACACACACACACACTTAATCCCAGTGTCACACACTCCAGATTCAGCCACCTCTGAAAAAGCCCTGCATGAGGCTTTGGAGGAACATCCAGATACAAGCCCTAACAGGTTTAAAGAGACACACTGATAGGAGAGGAAGAATAATGTGAAATGGAAAGGGATATAAACTGGATTTCTCCAAGTGTATCTTGTCTTGGTATGTTTTTCTGGAATAATTTAGTTTGGAATTAAATCATCCTAAATTAAAATGAAAAAGAGATCTGTAAAGTCTTAAAATACTGAATTCATAAACCTCAGTGTAGATAAACACAGTGGTGTAACCAAGCGATTTAATTCAGATTCCTCCAAGATACAGTATTTTGACTGTATATCCCTAGTATTCAGACTTAGTATAACACAAATGACAAAAGCCTTACTATTAATAATGACATTGATATTATTTTGTAATTGTGTACCAGCATCAATCAAGTAATTATGAATCAACATTTTTAGCTAATATATAAAAATATAAAGTCAAAGAAATTTTACATAAAAATCCTGCCATCCTAAATCTGAATTTGAAATATCATTACAAATAATGATTTAGATTCTTCTTTCTTGGAGGTCTGTATATCTCTCTCTGCTAGAACCTAGACTGTATCTTTAATACCATTTCCTCTGGAAGAAACCACGGCTATTTGAAGAAACCACCAACTCCCCTCTGGGCTGGAAACTATACAAGATGGATTCTGGGAAGAGAGCAGCAAAAAGCGATATAACTATCAAAGACTGCTAGAGTCTAAACAAAGGAATACAGGAGCCTGTCTGAAATTGCTCTTACCAGCCTGAACCGAAAAAGTTCACATATCAAAAAGAACTGCACAGTCTGGTGTGGTGAGGCACATCTACAACCCTCGCACCCTGGGAGATGCAGGCAAAGGCACTACAAACATGAACCCAGCTTGGGCAATGTAGTAAGTGAGCAGGACTTTGTCTCAGTGTGTAAGATCCAAAATGGATCACAGATATTGCAAAGTAGGAAGAAAATATTCAAATGGGAAGGAGTAAGGGAGAATAAAAGAAAAAGAGGCAACAAAGTTTCTGTGAACAAGGACCGGAAGAAGGGCTGAGAGGGAGGGGAGGAAACGGGAAAAAAAAAAGAATAAAGATCTATCATGTACAGGTACAAACTCCCTATGATGAATGTGATCAGTATCTATATCAAAAGTGAACCAATAAAAATTTTTTAAAAATTTAAAGAAGGAGCTGGGCGTGGTGGCACACACCTATATTCCCACCATTCTGGGAGGCTGAGGCAGGAGGCTGACAGGGTTCAAGCCAAATGCTAGGAAAAAGTGAGACCCTCTCAAAAAATAAAAAAGGGTTGTATAAAAAGGAATAAAATAGGAATTTTTAAAAAAACCAATAAAAAAAGAATGTAGTTCAGGACAAAGGCTCTATGTTTAATCTTCAAAATCACCCAAACAAAACTGCAATGTATCGAGAATGTGAAATATTTACAAGAATTCAGAAGTTCATAAAGACAAGCAGCAGCAAAAACCCTACCGGTCCCCCTGGCATGGGCTGGGCCATCCACACCCTTTCACTATGGTTCCCCCACACACTTCAGTTCGTAAGCACAGAGGGAATGAAGACTCGGAGTATCTCCACGCTGCATCCCACAACAACGAGGCACCCATGGAAAGACGACACGCCTGCTGAATAAAGAGCATGTGACAATGACAATGAGCAGATCACACTGACAACACTGAACCTGGCAGCCAACATGCACACCACTGATGTGGGAAGTCGCATATCACTTGCCTCGTATAGGGGCAGATTACTGGGAAACAGAAAAAACACAGGGCAAAACCTGATGACTAACATTGTAAGACCATCACATGCTTTTCTTTATACCAAGTACTTGAGATGGACCCTACCGTATCCTTATGAAAGTTTTACTCACATTTACTGTATGCTGACCTTGTCCCCTTCCCAGAAACAAAGGCTCAGACCCTGACTGACTTATACCACACCAACCAGTGAAACAAGTAATTTTTAGAATCCAGCTTGCCCCAGAAGGATGAAGTATACCTCAAACTCACCTCTTACAGCTCTCTCTGCTGCTGAGAGCTCTTCTGCTTTCTTTACATTTGCCATACTTTAAATAAACTGTCACTGTACATTTTATCAGTCTTCACTTCCCTATTTTTTGCTAAGAGCCCCACTTTTTTTTTTTTTTTTTTTTTTTGGTTTTTCTCCGGTACCGGGAACCGAACTCACGACCTTGCGCTTGCCAGGCAGGCGCTTCTGCCGCTGAGCTAAATCCCCAGCCCCTAAGAGCCCCACTTCATTCTTTGCCAGAATGAGGGCAAGGACCTGAAGAGAGGTGGACAGTTGCTACAGGGGACCCCTACCCCCAGGCCCCTTGCTGGATACAACACTCCTGTTGTGACACAATAGGAAAACGCACAGCACCACCTGTAAGTACTCTGCCCAAAGAACTGAACTTGAATCTAAGCATGGCTGAGGGTTCATTCACATGGGAATCAGGGGAGAGAGTATGGGTTAAATGACACCACAGTGATGTAAACTAAGTTTAGAAAGGGAAATTCTGTGCAAGAAAATGACCTTTTTTTTTTTTTCAAAAGCATAAAGAAAGGGAAGTTAGAAGCATTATAGATTTAAAAAGCCTAAGGGACAAATGTATGGTAATTTTGAGTAATTAGGGGAACTTGACCATAGAGTAACATAAACTACTGAAGAGTTACTGCTTAAGAGGGGTAACGATACTATGATTAATGTTAAAAAGTAAGTTTTTAACCATTAAAAATACAATGTAGTACCTATAGATAAAATGAAATGTTTGCAATTTGCTTTTTTTTTCTTTTGGTCTTTTTGAGACAGGGTCTCTCTATGCAGTTCAGGCTGGCCTTGAGCTCACTTTGTAGCCCAGGCTGGTCTCCTGCCTCAGCCTCCCAAGTGCTGGGATTACAGGCATGCGCCACCATGCCCAGCTGCAATTTGCTTTAAAACGTAAGAGCAAAAGCAAATTAGAACTGATGGAACAAGATTAAGAATGGATGTTCATTATGCTGTTTTCTCCGTTTTTGCGTACATATGAGACCTTATGTAATAAAAAGACTGAAAACACAGGGATAAGTGTGTACTCAGTAGGGCTGCCGTGGAGACTGCAGAAATGCACGGAGAGGGCTTAGCACAGGGCCTCACAGAGAGGAAGCATCAAAGCCAAAGCTGGTACTAAAACCCTCGCTGCTCCCTCCACAGCCGCAGTGACTCGGGCTGCTGTCCTCCAGGAGCATGGCTGCCACAGACGGAAGGACTTGTCTCAGAATGTTCTCCCCTCCCACTCTTACTCCATGTAGCCACCACCCTCTTTTCCAGCTACAACAGAGCACCCACTACTGACAGGCACTGGAAGGAGCACCTTTTAAACATTACCTTCAGTGACTGCAACAATCCTTCCAAATGAGGAAAAAGAATTTAAGCAATTTATCCACCCAAGACCCTACAGCTACTAAGTGTGAGAGGTAAGATTTATACCCAAGCTTTCTGGCAGCAAAGCCTTTTCTCTTCCCTATACTACACTATAATCCCCTTTCTAAACAAGAATTATGCCTTGTTTCTGAGACAAAGTGTCACTTAGTCCAGGCAGGCCTAGAACTCAAGATCCTCCTGACTCAGCTTCCCAAGTGCTGGAATTATAGGCATGTACTGTCATGACCACCTTGAACTATGACTTGCTTGAAGTTTTGCACTTAATTCTACACACTTATAGGCTCTCTTCTATGACCTGTTACCCAGATTCAATCAACCTTTTCAATTTAATTAATACCATTTATTGAATTGTTCTTCCTTGTCCATGTATCTGCAGTAACAGTGCTACAGTAATACCCTGGTTCACGAACGCTTGTTTCCAGACAATTCAGTTTGCAGCAAAATTTTGTTTCTGTTCACAAAGTCTGTATCAGGTGACAAATGTGTCCACAGCCATCCTCCCTACCCAGACACAACCACAACCAGCTTTCCTAAAACAGTACAACAAGCTCGCAATCCAAGGTACCACTGTACTTCTGAGCTTTCTATTGAACTCCCCTGGTCAATGTTTTATTTTAATTATTATTTAAGGCTTTGTGTGTTTGGTTAGCTTAGAGACAATCCCAGCATCAGAGAGAAGGTGGTCAGTATTTTTTTTTTTTTTCTTTTTTTGTTTTTTTTTCCGGTACCGGGAATCGAACTCACGACCTTGTGCTTGCCAGGTAGGCGCTGTGCCGCTGAGCTAAATCCCTAGCCCCAGTGGTCAGTATTCATTTGCTTATCAGTTAATGGTGCCAGGAACCCACGCCCCCACACAGAGCTGCTACTGTACCTGTGTGAGGCCTCGGGTGGAGCTATAGGAGCTGGTGATGGCGTTTCGGCTGGAACTGAGGATACCACCTGTGCATGTGCTTGTCAAGGAGCTCACAGAAGATGTACGTGAGCGCTTATTCAAGTGGTCATCTGAATTCTGGGAAGTAAGACCTCGCTTCAAGGTCCCAGGCCTAACAGAAGGGGAAAGTGCAATGTGTTACTGATGGTAGTGTTCTTGCTTTTAAAAACTTTGCCAGTACTTTTTAGATACACAGGATGGTAACATTATAGGGAATTTGTACCTGTACATGATCTTTTTTTGGGGGGGGGTGGGGGGGGTACGGGAATCGAACTCAGGACCTTGTGCTTGCCAGACAGGCGCTTGTGCCACTGAGCTATATCCCTGGCCCTGTACATGATATATCTTGATTCTTTTTTTCTCCTTCTCTTTCCTTTAACCCCTTTCCCTCCTTATTTACAAAAGCTTTGTTTCCATTTTTTCCTTTTCCCTTTCTTTCCCGCCTCTCCCCTCCTTAGTTCCCCCCTCACTTGAACATTTTCTTCCTATTTCACAATATCTATTGTACATTTTGGTGATGACAGCGTTCCTGAAAGTGTCATCCTGGTTAAAAAGCCCAGGATGGGGTTTCTGAGTGAACCATAAGAAAAGAGAATACCGCTCTGAATTTGCACTAACCATCTGGCTAAATTATGGGAGAAAGTCAGTAGAGAGAGCCAGATACTTAAATGTGACTCCATGTATAGCACAGTCTAAAAAATGCACGTGGGGGTCAGGTGGGCCTGGAGGGAGAGAGAACACTGAGAATGCATGTGTCCCATGTGCTGGTGCCAGTGACGGCTTCACAGGCGCATACACGGTGAAACTTCACACCGTCTGCACTTCCAACAGGTAGTTTATTGTTTATCAGCTATACCAGTAATGAAGTTGTTTTTAAAAAATTAGGAGTTAAGAGGAAGCAACCCTTGTTTTGAAGCCTCCAACAGAAACAGAAACTCCCCATGCAGCCTTCCTGCAGGACAGTCCTCCATGCTGACTGCCACAACACAGTCAGCACACGCCGTCTCCCAGACTGACCTGGTCTCTACTGCGTTAAGATCTATTTCTTTAGCTGTCACCCAGATCTTATCTGGAGCCAATCAAGCAGGTTAGCTTGGCTCTCACGTGACAGTCCTTTGCCCTTGAAGGACTATTATTAGCCTTGCTTTCCTTACTTCCCTCGGGGCTGTTCTCCGGCCTAGTCCTTCCGCACCTTCAAACCCTCCTCACTCTCCAGCCTCCAAGTCCCCTCAACACCTTGGTCGTTTGGGAATGAGTTTGAGTTTGTGTCAGCACTTCTTGGAGTGCAGTACAATGAACGGACTCCCAACGCTCCCGGTCAGTCCAGACTATAGAAAGCGGGATGACTGCTACCAGCTTTCCAGTTTGTCTTCTAAAAGCATAGACTAGTCCACATACTACCATCAGTAACATAGACTTTGTTGTTCTGGCAGCAAAGTAAACAGGTGCTACCCTAAGTGTTTTCACACACATCCCTGAGCCACTTGCCCTTCCATCCAGTGCCTCCTCCGGAGTGTTTTAAACTCAAATGTAGAAATTTAACATTATTCATCTTGGTTTTCACATTGCATTTCATCTACTGCATAAGCCTCGCAACTCTTCTGATTGAATACTTGGGTATCAAATACATTTACAAACACTCTTATTCCACCTGAGGGCATTTCATTTATATTAATGCAAAAAATGTAAAATGGACCTAGACAGTTAATTGTGGCAAGTTACTTAAGACATTCTGCCCTGATTCCAAAGATATTAACCTGAATTAATTAAGCAAGGAAAAAAGTAAAGAGGAAAATCTACAGGACAACAGCTGTGATAATACCCCTTTCCCGAAGTTGCTACTTCATCCAAAAGGACTCAAACTTACTTAGGCACAAAAGATGCGGGGACTCCATTGGCCACCAGGGGCTCAAATGCCGAATGTCCACTTCCACTGCTATCGTGGCGCCTAGATAAATCAAAACCTTCTTAATGAGATAACGTGACTTCCCCTGCCTAAGGTATATTCTTCTACTTCTGAGAGCTATACCACCTCTGTGTTTCAAATCCCCAGACTTCTGAACCATAAATCATATCTAAGACTGCCCTGGTAATAAGAACAGTAAGAAAATATTTCAAGACCTTTCAAACACATCGGTTTTCTTATTTGTTAACGTCATAGTAGAGTATTATAATCACAAAATTAATACCTCCCAAATCAAGAAAAAAATTAGAGACCAATCCACACATCTCACTGTCCCAGCGGGTAATATGCCAAGTGTGTTAGGGAAAAACTACCTATCACACATTAGAAGAACATGTATGCAGTACACTGCTTAGGGGAATACCACCGAGTGCTTGGCTGTAAGTACACAAGGGTGGAGAAAAACTATCACCTCAGAGAACACGAGAAACCTATGTGGACCTTGAGGCTGTCATGTCCTCCCCACCGCCTGCCCCTCTGCTTAGCTGCTCACCTGCCACAACTGTACTTCCCCCCTTTACTTATCATTACCTGATTGTCCTACGTCTCACAAACACACGTGCATTTACAGACATGTCCCTCATTTCATTTTGTCATCTACAGTATCAAGGTCAACTCTGAAACTTCGGACATAAACAATGTAGTCTAGGCAGTGGAGATGATGGTTATATTTTCCAGTTCTGGGGCTCCTTTGTCTCCTTGGAGAACTCTTCCTTGACCACTTTTAAAAGGAAGCCCTCTTCTCACTGTCCTCTACTGCTGTCTCCCACCTCCACACACTTACAATCTGTAATCACCTTGTTCATCTTTTTAAAAAAATTGCCTGTCTCCCTCAAAAGACACCCACAAGGTCAGGGATTGTCTTGTGCACTGCCCCATCCATCTGAATCACAGCCTGGCACACCAGGGGGGGGGGGGGCGCTCAATTAACATTTGACGAATTACAACATAAGTGGAGGATTGGGAATGTAGTTTAGTGGTATTTTGCCTATCATGCACCAGGCCCTGGGTTCAATCCTTGTCAAAAACAAATAAAAAACAGCCACTAGTAGAATCCTTAACTGACCCCCTCAGAAAGCTGCTTCAGCCTCCTCTCTAGACTCAGGAAACCTTTTACTCTGTTTTCATTAAGTTATCCTATAACCTAAATAAGGAAAGTACGCTCAGCACTGATAAATCTACCATACTCTAGTTTTCACTCTTCCTTGACACATACTTCCTTCAGCAGAGAACAACACAACATTGTGAAGGGAAGCCTCTGAACATTCATTCTCAACAATAAAATTTGATACATTTTGATCTAAGCAGGACGCCAACATGGCTAAGAGCTGTCAGCTTATCTCTGCTACTTATGGAAAACAAACATTATAAAATGTACCTACACTATGCTTTAGGAGGTGATTAGCATTCAAATCCTTACTACCAGGCTCTTCCACGAAAGTCAAAAAGGGTTCTCATGAAGGCTCACACACTGGGGTTGGCTTACTTATCTTTTTGGGAATGACACACATTGTAACAAATGCTCAGTAGTCCACACCAGAGATTCATTTAGTGTTCTGCTGGGCCTGTTACCTTCTTTTATTTTCCTGGCCATCAACGAATATTTGGTCTTCTTCCTCCACTGTCCTTTTCCTCCGCTCTCTGAGGGCATTCAGTACCGTCTCCTTTGAACATGGGTCTGGGGTATTACTTGATGGTGAGGACAGTGCTGAGTTGATTATCTGCTCGGGCCTGCAATGAAAGACAGCATTCTAACAGTGAGATATAGCAATCACCAGGCCTCACGGCACAGACTTAAGTCACCAGAAGCCAACAAGTGGGCAAAAATATAACACTCACAAAAATTTCCATTAGCAATGAAAACCCGCTGCCAAGGGCCAAAAATAAAAGAAGGTTTTACTAGAATTTGGGAATTCTCATTCAAATAAGCAGCTACTTCCTTTGTGTGTGTGTGCTGCAGCTGTTTTGTCAGAGAAAGGGGTGTAGAAGAATAGACACAAAGAGGGAGGATTCTTCCAACAATACTCACATTGCAGCCTGCGATGGTTTGCTGTCTGGAGGTGCAATCCTCACAGTCACTGGGCTACACACCATCCTTGAGTTTCGAGCAGACAGCACCGGCTTCTTATGACAACCATTCCAGCACACTGTGGGCAAGACCCCCAGTAAGGAATACTGGGCTTGCTGGATGGGATAACGTCTTCGAGGTGTTATTACAAACCGACTGGACAAAGTCCCGTAATCCCTACAGAGAAGGGGAGATGCATCATGGAACCACAGAAACTTAAAAGAATGCCAGAAAATGTAAATGGCTGAAGAGCTAGCAAGCTTAAATCTTTCTAAGCAAAACAGAACATAGTTTTATGGCAACTTTCCCCTATTCCATCTAAGGGCAGAAAGTGGCAGCTGCTTAACAGCTGTCTCTATCAGTGAATCCACAGGGAAATTGAAAACCTTGGTCACACAAGTACTGTGGGAGAAAAGGAGATGGTGACGTGTGCTGAGAGGGAGTTTTCAAGAATTTTTTTTACTTGTTTATGCTAAATCATAATATGTATTTAAAGTGGAGTATTTTCAACCCTAGTTCACTTTCTTAACTAAACATATTAACCAAGAGCCTAACGTTTTCACAATTTTTTACATTCTCTTGTATTGTTCAGCTCTTGGGACTACAAGCAAATGTGTCTAACTCCATCAGCTCTATCATCGAGTCTTTTTTCAATCAAAGAAATATTTCCTGGGACACCTCTTTGAGCTCTGTGGATATAATTTCTCTTACTGATCCAAAGATAAAAATGTAGTCAAACATACTATATTATTAAACTCCAAAATACATTTTCACCGGAAGCAGAGATATTAATAGTTAAGCATTCCGCTAAATGTAGACTGAACTATCAGGTATTTCTAAGAACCGCAGAGTAGGGCGTGGTGGCTCCTGCCTGTAATCCCATACTTGGAGGCTGAGGCAGGAGGATCACAATTTTGAGCCCAGGCTGGCCAATTTAGTGAGTTGAAGGACCGCCTGGACTACATGATGGAGACTCTGACTCAAAACAAAACAGAACAGAACTGGAAGGTAGGGTTTTGGCAATACTTCTCACTGAAAGAGCTAGACGAGTGCAGGTGAAGCCTGACACACACCAAGATTTCCTTTAAGAGGTTAAAACCACACAGAATCCACTTTGGAATCCAGGAAAGAAATCGGATTTAGAAGTCACGTCTTCAGCCAGCCTCCCCGCAGGGAAGATCTGGGAAGATCGGTGCATCTTACCGGTGGGAAGGCCTCCGGGAAGGTCGGTGGAGAGGGGTGGGGAGAGAGGGGTAAACGTGGTGGGCGCGCCGGGCGGCGGGGGCGGGCGCTGGGGTGCGGGCGGGCTGCGGGAGGCCGGGCCTCTCCCGCGAGTCCCTGCGCTCCAGCGCGGGGGTGGGCTGCGGCGGGCCAGGCTTGCCCAGGTAACTGCCCATAAGGAGCAGCTCGGCGGGGTCGGGTCCTTCTAGCGGGGTCCTCGGCTCTAAGAGGCTTCCGTTCACTGCCGACTTGGCCGGAGGCGAGGCGAGCAACGCTCGGTGGCGCCGCGCGTTCCGCACGAACGAGGACAGGGCGCGCGAACCTCGGGGCTCGCGACTCAGTCCCCACCAGGCCGCGGTAGCCCCCACGGCCAGCCAGGCCAGCGCCGCCGCCGCGGGCACCAGGTACAGCACGAGGCCAAGCAGCGACAGGCCGAGCACCGCCGTCCCGGCCGGCCCGCCGCAGCCGCGACCACGGAGACGGCCGTCCCTGGCACTCGCTATGGGCCGCCGCCGCTCGCCTCCTCCAGCTGCTGCAGCCGCCGGAGACATCGCGGCTCCGCGCCGCGGAGAAGACTTAAATATCCCAGCGTGCACCGCGCCGCGTGCGCGTCACCACGCGCCGCGTACGTCACTGCGCGCGACTCTGGGAGACGCGGCTGCCTGGCGACGCCCGAGACCCGACCCCTTCCGAAAATCGCAGCGTGGAGAGTACTCAGCGCTGGCTTTCAAGGCCTCCCATGTGGTGTTAATCGCGTTAAACTGGAACGCATCTCCTATAAATCCAGCACTCTGGAAAAAAAATGAGGCAGGAGAATCGTAGGTTCGAGCCCAGCCTGGCCAAATTAGCGAGACCTTGTGTTAAAAAAAAGGCTAGGACGTAGCTCAGTTCGGCGGCCCCAGATTCAATACTCAATACCGCAAAATAATGAAATACAGTAACGCCGCTGTACGCACAATTCTACATATTTTTAGGGGTTAAGCTAAATAAGTAAATTTTTTAAAAAGCGGCGGTAACCACCCATATTTTCTAGGGGTTAAACTCCCCTCCAGCAAAGTGCTGGAGGGCACTTCTGACAGTTGCTTCCATCGGTTGTGAGATTTCTCTTTCACCCTGTTTTCTGCTAAAGTACACACAGCTATCTTCCACGGCAAGAGTGAAATGAAAGGCCAAACCAACCACTCTTGTTAAATGTGGATCGAGTTCTAACACACTGCAGATTTAACACGAAGCTGCTGCTTGAGCCCCCAAATCTGAGTTTCTGCGGTACAAGCGACAGCATGGGACAATTATTTATCAAGCTGCACATTATAGTCCAGATATCACAATAAATTTTGTGGATTTGTGATCAATCAAATGTTAAATTTGGGAGCTTGTGAAAGATCGGTGGTTGCCTAAGACCGGGAAGTGTGGTTGAAGGGTAAAGATTGCTCACCGTTATAGGTTTTCTTTCGCGTGACAAAATATTCTAAATTTGCATTGGGCTGATGGCTGTACAGCCCCGCGAATTTAAATTATGTGGATTAACCACCAGTTTTTGTTAAAGAAATTTAAAAACGGAGAAAACGGTCTCTGATGTTTACAAGTTCTCAGGCTAGTAGGGAAGAAAGATGTGTAAGAAAATTACAATTTAGTGTGCAGTGCGGTATTCTGCTCAAAAAGAGAAAGAATGAACAGTAGAGAGCAAGGTGGTCTGGGAAATGCTACTGGATCTGAGTGAACCGGCTTGTTCAGGTTCAAGGCAGACACGATAAAGGAGGAGGATGCCAGAGTCTAAACAGTTTAGGATCACTGGGGATTACAGTGCTTGGAGGAACCCTCGGGGCTGTAGATGCCTCTGGAGCAACTTAGATGAGCAGAGCGAGCAGCAGGGGTCCAGCTCTTTCCCAGCTCACTCCCAGAGCAATTCTGCTTCTGGAAAGGAAAAGGGCTTGTCTGTGTTGCTTAAGAAAAAATCTTGTATCAGTCAATATAGTAGGACGAAATACAAGTTGCTGTGGGTTGAACAGTGAAGGGAAAATGAGTAAGTGCAGGCAGTGACTGCAGCCTCCTCATTCCAGAAACTTGCGGAAAGGAAGAAGACAGTTCAACAAAGGTCCTTTAAATGATCGATCAGATATGACTGGACGGCTGGGGATTTAGCTCAGCGGCAAAAGCGCCTGCCTGGCAAGCGCAAGGTCGTGAGTTCGGTTCCCGGTACCGGAGAAAAACCAAAAAAAAAAAAAACAAAAAAAGAATGCTTGATAGGGCTGGGGATTTAGCTCAGCGGCAAAAGCGCCTGCCTGGCAAGCGCAAGGTCGTGAGTTCGGTTCCCGGTACCGGAGAAAAACCAAAAAAAAAAAAAAAAAAAAAAAGATATGACTGGAGTTCCGTAAATAGAGAGGTCAAGGCCAAAGCCTGGGACACCCTTGTGTTTGGAGAACAAAGTGACAGGGACACAAAAAGTACAGATCATTTCATAAAAATAAATATAACATTAAAATTTGACACTTCTGTATGGGGAAAAACATACACATCTGAAAAACAAGCTAAGAGTGACAAAAGAAAATCTGACACATAGAATCAAAAAGAATTAGTAACCAGAATTTATCAGGACGTCAGAAGAATTGGTAACAAAACAAGATCCAATTTTTTAAAAGGACAGTTGGTATAAACAGCAAGTTATTGAGTAGGAGCCCAAGTAACCAACAATATACACGTAATAGATACATATATAATAAATGTATGTATACATATGTAAATATATGCACATTTATTTATCCTCACTATTTATGAAAAATTTAAGGTAACATAATACTGTACCATTTTGAGTTCACTTGCACAAGAAGGGAAGTTTAATAATTCAAGATGTAGAATGGCAAGGGTGTAGGATGAATAGAATGCGTATGCTGTTTGCTGATATACTGAACATACAATTTGGAGAGTAACTTGGTGGTATCTTGTAAGAGTGAAAATGGAAAGATTCCTATAACCCTGCAATTCCACTTGTGGGTACAGTCACTGAAGCATAATTTTTCTTATTGACAGTTTGAATACACCTAAATGTCTAATTCTATCAACACAAGAATGAGTAAAGTGGATAATTCATATAATAAAACACTATAAAGCTGCTGAAAATTAACAACCTTACTAGCTGTGATTAAGTCCAGATTACTCTTCCCGCCATGAATCATGATAAAAATGGACAAAATTTATAAGCCAGCTATGCTGGGTAGAGAACAACAGGGAGCTCGAGATTGTGATCGATCCCTGAGAGAAGAGAACTGCTGAGGTAAGCCCCCAAATCACCTGGTTCCTCTATCTCTCTAGGAATGATTTTGCAACTATAGTGCAAAGAGCTGGAGTCTGAGAAAAGTAGGAACATCCTATTGGGCTTATGAGGCAGAGATCAGACCTGGAGACAGCTGAAATGGTTAGATCATGGGGTAGAGAAAGCTAAAGAAGGATTCCCCAAAGAGAGGAAGTTCCTGAAGTCTGTGGGTGAGGTGAATCTGGCTGGAGACTAAAGAAGGGTTAATTTTGTGTGTCAACTTGACTGGGCCCCAAGGTGCCCAGATATTTGGTTAAAGATTTCTGGGTGTCTTTGAAGGTATTCCTTCTTTTTTTTTTTTTCTTTTGAGACAAGGTCTTGCTCTGTAGTTCAGGCTGGCCTTAAACTCACTACATAGCCCAGGCTGGCCTCAAACTCCATAGTGATTCTCCTGCCTCAGCCTCCCTAGTGCTGGGATTACAAGCATGTGCCAACACACCTGGCTTGTTAAGGTATTGCTGGATGAGGTGTTTTGGACTTGAATTGGTAGACAAACAGATTGCCTTGCCCAATGAGGGTGCTCTTCAACCAGTCCCACGAATGTCTGAATAGAACAAAAGGCCGATTAAGAATCTCTCCCTCTGCCTCAATGTCTTCCAGCTGGGACATCAGTCTTCTCTTACCTTAGACTTGAATTAAAACTCATCCCACTGGCTCTCCTGCCTCTCAGACCTTTGGACTCAGACTAGAGCAAGATCACTGGCTGTCTTGGTCTCCAACTTGCCATCTGTGGATCTTAGAACCTGTCAGCTTCCATAACCACGTGAGCCCATCCATTCCTTACAATAATCTCTCGGTATAGATCTGTGTCCTGAGCTGTGTATGCACAGAGGGGACATCTCTGAGGCGTACCAGAAAGCAGGGACTGCAGAGTTGAAATGTGAACACAGACCTTTTGGCTAGAACTGCCACCTTCCAGCAATTCACCAAAATGATGGTACAGTGACGAACACAAGGGAACATAAAGGGAAAGAAGAATGGAATCTGGTATGTGTTCTCAAGGCCTTTTAGAAAACATGAGGTTCCTCTGGGCACATATATGCAAATCTACAAAAAGGGTGACATTGTAGACAGCAAGGGAATGGGTATTTTTCAAAAAGGAACGCCGCACAAATGTTACCAGGGCAAAACTGGAAGAGTCTGCAGTGCTACCCAGCATCCTCTTGGCATTGTTGGAAACAAGTAGGTTAAGGACAAGATTCTGGCCAAGAGAATGAATGTACCTGCTGAGCCCTTAGGCACTCTAAGAGCTGAGATGATTCCCAGAAAGGGGTGGAGGAAAATGATTAGAAAAAGAAGGAAGTCAAAGAGAGTGGCTCCTGGATTCAGCGGAAGCACCAGCCTGCCCCTCCCAGGGAAGAGCACTTTGTGAGAACCAAAGGGAAGGAGCTGAGCTGCTGGACCCAATTCCCTATGGATTCATGGCACGAGCTAGCCATGCAGCTCTGGCATTCAGCACCTAACTACTGGCTAAGTGTTCTAGGCCCTGGGTTCAATACCCAGTACTGTTTAAAGATGAAAAAAAGGTCCTCTGAATTGTAAGGATGGCTTTTTAATTGAGCAGGGATGGGGTGCCTCACCCCAGAGAAATAAATACTTAGAGCAGATTCTCATTGTACCCAGTTGGTTAGGACATGTGTTTACTCTTCACATTCGGCACTTTTCTTGCTGAAAGACGTGAAGTGATTTGTTGTGCAGCTGGTTAGAAGATGGCCAGATATTTATGAAATCTTCACGCTGGCTTGAAGATAGTCCCTCTAAATAACCAGGGGGAAAAAGACATATGAAAATAAATGGAAGGCCATCTACTGGGTTATAGTTAAACTAGGAAGAGTTTATCATTTACAGATGTATTACTGTAAAACAACTAGCTTTTAAGGATTAGGAATTTGCCTTGGAAGCCCTGTACTTAAATTGTTCAGAACACCCTAAAAAATTCAAACACAGAAACTGAATTTAGAGCAATGCCTGGATAAGAGCATGGCCAGGGGAGATGTGCTCTTTTTTTTTTTTTTTTTTTTTTGGTTTTTCTCTGGTACCGGGAACCGAACTCACGACCTTGCACTTGCCAGGCAGGCGCTTTGCCGCTGAGCTAAATCCCCAGCCCCTGGGAGATGTGCTCTTGCTAGAGAAGATTCATAACATGTCCCTAGTGTCTTTAGCATCCAGCTGAGAGAGCAGAAAGGTTAAAGGACAGACCATGGCCTAAAGTAAGGCCTTTTCCAGGCCTGCTCTAATACGATCTTAAGTCAAGCCATGACAAGATCCTCAGGGAGTCTGGGAGTTCACTTT